ACAGTGTTACCCCTTTCGTTTTTTTTTCATTTTCGGGCGAAAAATTAAGTTTCTCCAATCTTCTCAAACTCTGGATTATGATAGAGGGCTGTGAGACTTTGACCTGAGTGCAAAAATTGAGGCTCTAGACCCTTCCAGAGCTGAGATATCAAAATTCAAAATTTCGACCCGAAAAAAAAACGACAGTGTTACCCCTTTCGTTTTTTTCATTTTCGGCGAAAAATTAAGTTTCTCCAATCTTCTCAAAACTCTGGATTATGATAGAGGGCCGTGAGACTTTGACCTGAGTGCAAAAATGGAGGCTCTAGACCCTTCCAGAGCTGAGATATCAAAATTCAAAATTTCGACCCGAAAAAAAAAACGACAGTGTTACCCCTTTCGTTTTTTTCATTTTCGGGCGAAAAATTAAGTTTCTCCAATCTTCTCAAAACTCTGGATTATGATAGAGGGCTGTGAGACTTTGACCTGAGTGCAAAAATGGAGGCTCTAGACCCTTCCAGAGCTGAGATATCAAAATTCAAAATTTCGACCCGAAAAAAAAAACGACAGTGTTACCCCTTTCGTTTTTTTTCATTTTTGGGCGAAAAATTAAGTTTCTCCAATCTTCTCAAAACTCTGGATTATGATAGAGGGCCACGAGACTTTGACCTGAGTGCAAAAATGGAGGCTCTAGACCCTTCCAGAGCTGAGATATCAAATTCAAAATTTCGACCCGAAAAAAAAAACGACAGTGTTACCCCTTTCGTTTTTTTTCATTTTTGGGCGAAAAATTAAGTTTCTCCAATCTTCTCAAAACTCTGGATTATGATAGAGGGCAACGAAACTTTGACTTGAGTGCAAAAATGGAGGCTCTAGACCCTTCCAGAGCTGAGATATCGAAATTCAAAATTTCGACCCGAAAAAAAAACGACAGTGTTACCCCTTTCGTTTTTTTTCATTTTCGGGCGAAAAATTAAGTTTCTCCAATCTTCTCAAAACTCTGGATTATGATAGAGGGCCACGAGACTTTGACCTGAGTGCAAAAATGGAGGCTCTAGACCCTTCCAGAGCTGAGATATCAAAATTCAAAATTTCGACCCGAAAAAAAAACGACAGTGTTACCCCTTTCGTTTTTTTTCATTTTTGGGCGAAAAAATAAGTTTCTCCAATCTTCTCAAAACTCTGGATTATGATAGAGGGCCACGAGACTTTGACCTGAGTGCAAAAATGGAGGCTCTAGACCCTTCCAGAGCTGAGATATCAAAATTCAAAATTTCGACCCGAAAAAAAAAACGACAGTGTTACCCCTTTCGTTTTTTTTCATTTTTGGGCGAAAAATTAAGTTTCTCCAATCTTCTCAAAACTCTGGATTATGATAGAGGGCTGTGAGACTTTGACCTGAGTGCAAAAATGGAGGCTCTAGACCCTTCCAGAGCTGAGATATCAAAATTCAAAATTTCGACCCGAAAAAAAAACGACAGTGTTACCCCTTTCGTTTTTTTTTCATTTTCGGGCGAAAAATTAAGTTTCTCCAATCTTCTCAAAACTCTGGATTATGATAGAGGGCCACGAGACTTTGACCTGAGTGCAAAAATGGAGGCTCTAGACCCTTCCAGAGCTGAGATATCAAAAATCAAAATTTCGACCCGAAAAAAAAACGACAGTGTTACCCCTTTCGTTTTTTTTCATTTTCGGGCGAAAAATTAAGTTTCTCCAATCTTCTCAAAACTCTGGATTATGATAGAGGGCTGTGAGACTTTGACCTGAGTGCAAAAATGGAGGCTCTAGACCCTTCCAGAGCTGAGATATCGAAATTCAAAATTTCGACCCGAAAAAAAAACGACAGTGTTACCCCTTTCGTTTTTTTTCATTTTCGGGCGAAAAATTAAGTTTCTCCAATCTTCTCAAAACTCTGGATTATGATAGAGGGCCGTGAGACTTTGACCTGAGTGCAAAAATGGAGGCTCTAGACCCTTCCAGAGCTGAGATATCAAAATTCAAAATTTCGACCCGAAAAAAAAAAACGACAGTGTTACCCTTTCGTTTTTTTTTTTCATTTTTGGGCGAAAAAATAAGTTTCTCCAATCTTCTCAAAACTCTGGATTATGATAGAGGGCTGTGAGACTTTGACCTGAGTGCAAAAATGGAGGCTCTAGACCCTTCCAGAGCTGAGATATCAAATTCAAAATTTCGACCCGAAAAAAAAACGACAGTGTTACCCCTTTCGTTTTTTTTCATTTTCGGGCGAAAAATTAAGTTTCTCCAATCTTCTCAAAACTCTGGATTATGATAGAGGGCCGTGAGACTTTGACCTGAGTGCAAAAATGGAGGCTCTAGACCCTTCCAGAGCTGAGATATCAAAATTCAAAATTTCGACCCGAAAAAAAAAACGACAGTGTTACCCCTTTCGTTTTTTTTCATTTTCGGGCGAAAAATTAAGTTTCTCCAATCTTCTCAAAACTCTGGATTATGATAGAGGGCCGTGAGACTTTGACCTGAGTGCAAAAATGGAGGCTCTAGACCCTTCCAGAGCTGAGATATCGAAATTCAAAATTTCGACCCGAAAAAAAAACGACAGTGTTACCCCTTTCGTTTTTTTTCATTTTTGGGCGAAAAATTAAGTTTCTCCAATCTTCTCAAAACTCTGGATTATGATAGAGGGCCGTGAGACTTTGACCTGAGTGCAAAAATGGAGGCTCTAGACCCTTCCAGAGCTGAGATATCAAAATTCAAAATTTCGACCCGAAAAAAAAAACGACAGTGTTACCCCTTTCGTTTTTTTTCATTTTCGGGCGAAAAATTAAGTTTCTCCAATCTTCTCAAAACTCTGGATTATGATAGAGGGCCACGAGACTTTGACCTGAGTGCAAAAATGGAGGCTCTAGACCCTTCCAGAGCTGAGATATCAACATTCAAAATTTCGACCCGAAAAAAAAAACGACAGTGTTACCCCTTTCGTTTTTTTTCATTTTCGGGCGAAAAATTAAGTTTCTCCAATCTTCTCAAAACTCTGGATTATGATAGAGGGCCACGAGACTTTGACCTGAGTGCAAAAATGGAGGCTCTAGACCCTTCCAGAGCTGAGATATCAAATTCAAAATTTCGACCCGAAAAAAAAACGACAGTGTTACCCCTTTCGTTTTTTTTTCATTTTCGGGCGAAAAAATTAAGTTTCTCCAATCTTCTCAAAACTCTGGATTATGATAGAGGGCCACGAGACTTTGACCTGAGTGCAAAAATGGAGGCTCTAGACCCTTCCAGAGCTGAGATATCAAAATTCAAAATTTCGACCCGAAAAAAAAACGACAGTGTTACCCCTTTCGTTTTTTTTCATTTTCGGGCGAAAAATTAAGTTTCTCCAATCTTCTCAAAACTCTGGATTATGATAGAGGGCCACGAGACTTTGACCTGAGTGCAAAAATGGAGGCTCTAGACCCTTCCAGAGCTGAGATATCAAAATTCAAAATTTCGACCCGAAAAAAAAACGACAGTGTTACCCCTTTCGTTTTTTTTTCATTTTCGGCGAAAATTAAGTTTCTCCAATCTTCTCAAAACTCTGGATTATGATAGAGGGCTGTGAGACTTTGACCTGAGTGCAAAAATGGAGGCTCTAGACCCTTCCAGAGCTGAGATATCAAAATTCAAAATTTCGACCCGAAAAAAAAAACGACAGTGTTACCCCTTTCGTTTTTTTTCATTTTCGGGCGAAAAATTAAGTTTCTCCAATCTTCTCAAAACTCTGGATTATGATAGAGGGCCACGAGACTTTGACCTGAGTGCAAAAATGGAGGCTCTAGACCCTTCCAGAGCTGAGATATCGAAATTCAAAATTTCGACCCGAAAAAAAAACGACAGTGTTACCCCTTTCGTTTTTTTTCATTTTCGGGCGAAAAATTAAGTTTCTCCAATCTTCTCAAAACTCTGGATTCTGATAGAGGGCCATGAGACTTTGACCTGAGTGCAAAAATGGAGGCTCTAGACCCATCTAGAATTGAGATATGGACATCCCACGTAGCATTTATGCCATTATAAATAACTCATTATCTCAGCTCTGGAAGGGTCTAGAGCCTTCATTTTTGCACTCAGGTCTAAGTTTTGTGGCCCTCTATCAGAATCCAAAGTTTCAAGAAGATCAGAGAAACTCAAAATTTCAACCCGAAGACCCAACCCTTTTTTGGTGTGAAAAAAGTTTCTCCAATCTTTTCGAAACTCTGGATTCTGATAGAGGGCCATGAGACTTAGACCTGAGTGCAAAAATGGAGGCTCTAGACCCTTCCAGAGCTGAGATATGGACATCCCACGTAGCATTTATGCTATTAAAAAAATAGTGGGTTTGCGGACAGTGGAATTTTGGGACAGCGCTTGGTGCTACGGACGCCGGGGGGTCCTCCTGAGTGCGGTAAAATAGTTTTTTTTACGACAAGAACTGTAATTAAAATGTCTATCAAAAACACTACCCAAATCCCCATTCAATAGACTGCCGGTGGGACCGCGTCCAATTGCAGCTTATTGAATGAATGGCAGAAAAATAAAAAAAAAATAGAGTGGGTTATTGAACAAATAGTGGGTTTGTAGAACATGGGCTGTGATTCTAGATGATGAGAAATGTTTATATAATGACATTTATTTTATGTAGTTTGTGTTTTGTTGTAATGTTTAGTATTAGAAACAACAAAGGTTACTTTACCCAACAGTGATTTATTACCTCTCTCCCTTCCAGTGTTTTTTAAGTTGCCTGCCAGCATTTTTGATCATTTTAACTCAATTTTAATATTTTTTTTGTGTGAATAGCTGAACACACAATACATCAAAAGTATATACAGTGGGATTATGTAAGAAAGTCAGTCTTCTGTTCTTCTGCTCAGACTCTGTTCCAGTTCATCACCGGGATCATGAAGGATGGTTATCTGGAAGAAGAGAAAACCAAACGCAACCTCATGTTGACGTCCACCAGAGAGAGACCAGACAAGAGGAACACCATGATCTGATGTTCGTCAGAAACCTTACGTGACGTGGCTTAGTTGTGAACATACTGTATTTATTTCAATTCTTCATTTGTCTTTTTGTACAGTACATAATGTTCACGTCTCTGATTCTGGAGTCTTTGGGATATCCTCACGATGACGGAAACAATGATTAGAGATGTCAAACTCAATAAAAGAAATAATGTATTAGCAAATCCAAGGTGTTTCGTTTATCTCAAATAAGAAAGAGTGGCAATTACGTTCAATAAATGGGCTTTCAATTCAATGAAATAAACACTGGAGAACTAAAATTATTCAACATGAGGAGAAAGTTCCCGGTTCACTCACTCATCATATAAAACACTTGTTTAAATCAAAATATGGCTTGAAATATGAACGAATATATTCTAGAGCACATGATCTGCATCCCTAACGAACTGAAAACGGTCATTAAATCACGTAAAGACGAATCAGATGTGGTTTCCTCGGTTTGGAGCAGCAGATGTCAAACGTTGGCAGGTTCTTCCCCATGATGCCACTGCTGAAGTCACTTCCTGTTGAAGTTACTGGCGTGAGCCGGGGCTGATGGGAAGGCGGAGTGGCACTGGCCAGTGTTGAATCACACCTGTCTTTCACTCCGAGACGGCCCGTCACTATGTGGCTTTAGTTTTTTTACTCTTACTCTTTTTGTCTTTCTTTTTCAGGCCGTCCATGTGAGCGCGCAACAAGTTCGAATACGCCTGGAAAACAAGCAAACAGTCAGCATTACTGTCAGAAACACATCCAAACACTTATGCACACACACAGCTTCACATTTCTCACAGTTTATTCACTATACTTCAGAAAATGGTGATAAAATCTGAGCAGAACTCAGTGGATATTTGACTCTCACACATGAATTATGTTGAATATCTGTTCAATTGAACTACACAATTAGATAATACCAGTTTAGCTCAACTAGTGACCAAGCAATGCTTCATGTTGTTCAGTGTGTGTGTAAAAAGAGCATTAGCAATTACAGAAAGCAGAACATCATTAGCTCAAAGTGGACGAATCATGTTTTGGCCCCAAATGTTTTATTAATGTTACTGGTAGTTGCTGTATGAAGAAGTATGTTGTATAATATGTCAGTTTACTTTATATTGCTCTCCTCACTTACATATATTATGAACTATAGTGACCAGAACACACTAGTAAAAAAATATATAAAAAATGATATCTGGTGTCTGACGTGAGGGAAAATATTAGTGATTATTTTTTTTAAATGGAAGTCAATATCGAGCTCATTTAACATATAGATGTGGCAAGCACCAAAACATGATCTAAATAAAGCTTTGTGAATATAATATACCCACCATCTGAAACTTTATAACTTCTTTAGTGCTGACCTGAAAGACAAGGTTAAAGAATAAACATCTTCATGAGTGAGAACGATAATGGAATAAATAAAAACATTTTGCTGTATTATACACTGAAATATTTATGAGTCTGATTCAACCAATCACACGATGAGAATAAAGACTAGAAATCAATAAACAATTGTTGAAATGAATACATGTAGCAATATTGAAATATGGAAAATTAAATAAATAAGGCAATATTGAAATATGGAACAAAAAAACAAATGAACAAATAAATAAATCACAAAATAATAAATAAATGGGTAAAATTATTTAATTGTTCATTTTTTTAAAATCACAAAATAATAAATAAATGGGTAAAATTAAGTAACAAAAATGAACAAATAAATCATTTTATTTATCTTAATCAATTTAGTCCTGAATTTATTTTTATTACTTAATTTTACCCATTTATTATGTTGTGATTAAGTTACAAAAATGAACAAATAAAAAATAAATGTGTAATAAATAGATAAATGGGTAATATTATTTATCACAAAACAATAAATGGGTAAAATTAAGTAATAAATCATTTTACCCATGTATTTTTCATTTATTTTTTATCACAAAACAATAAATAAATGGGTAATATTATTTATCACAAAACAATAAATAGGTAAAATTAAGTAATAAATTATTTTACCCATTTATTTGTCATTTATTTTTTAATTATTGTTTTAAACAATAAATAAATGGGAAGACTCATCTATTCATTCACTTTTGTTACTTAATTTTACCCATTTATTTATTTATAAAAATGAACAATTTATTTATTATTTTGTGATTATTTGTTCATTTTAGTTACTTAATCACAAAATAATAAATAAATGGGTAAAATTAAGTAACAAAAAAAAAAATGAATTCAGGACTAAATTGATTTAAATTGTTTTTTACAGGCAAAACATTAAGAACAAGTTCTTATTTACAATGGCGGCCTGACAAGTGGAGTAACCACTCAGTGTTCAGGGAATAAGCGTGTTAAAAATAACCTTGGGAATTTCTGCATTTGAGATCACACACACTCTCTCTCTCACACACACACACACACTCCTCTCACCACTGTGCTGATTTTCTTCTTGCCCTCTGAAGCTCTGATGAGACATTTGTTGTCGGCCGGTTCAAACGTCTCCGGATGGCCTTTCTTGGGGACCGGCTTCGTTCTGCCATCGTCTGCAGACACACAACAACATCACTTCACACATAGAAATATTCTTTTATCTTTTCTTCTAAGCATTTAAAACACTGTTTTTTTATTTTAGGGTTTATTATAATTGTCAATTTTAATTTAAAACAAACTAAAAAAACTCCACTAGAGTATAAAGAACAGTAGTGTGTGACGTACACTTCTTTAGTGTGATGACGACACTGCCGCTGGTCCTGCACTTCTGGAACAGACGTGTAAGTTCAGTGAGGAACTGCAGAGAAACACACACACACACATCATAAACACCTCAATACTGTTCAGACTGAAAAATACTCATATCTGACATGCTCCACAAAAAGAGTGAACGAGTGCTGCTCTTCAAAACACCATTAGTGCATGTAGTTCATTAAACACTGTAATGTGTGTCACAAACACTTCTAACATGTTAATAAACACTTGTTTTGTTTTGTCAAAATAAAATATCCTCATAACCCGACTGAACATGCCAAGAGAAATAATGAGCTACTTTAACTCAACCAATGGCATTATAAGAAGTAATAATCATAAAAATAAAAAACAAGTGTTGAAATAAATGTGGCAATTATAGAAATACACAAAATGAATCAATGCATGAATATAAAATATCAAATAAAAAATTACAGAAAATAAATAAATGGGATAATAAAAATGTAATACAATTATAACAATAATAGTAATACCAAAATATGAAGTCATATGCCTTTATTTTTCTATTATGACATTTTGTTTTACTTATTTAGACACACACACACACACACACACACACACATATCTCCGACCTTCTGTGAACACACTGTAATGCATGTCACGTATGTTCTGCTCCTCTATAGCTGTAGTTCAAGTTTACAAAAGGCTGATTAATTTTAATATGTCTTTATCAGGTAATCATTCACATTTATACTTTATTATGATAACAAAACGAACGAATTACTTTGATTTTTCCTATTAAAACGAAGCAGAAGTGTCTATGAAGGGTCCACAAGGCATTAAGTTGACTTATTTTAACATTGTTTACAATAATTAAACGCAGGAATAGTTTACAACGAGCCTGAAATAAGCGAAATGAATGAGTTTGTCGACATTACAGCAGCAGAATCCAGTGTGAGGAGTTTGTGCTTTAACGTTAGCTTGCTAACACGCTTCAACTCGACGCTGTCCGATTAAACACGAAAACTCTGAATCTCATGTACATTACGAGCGTATTATCAACTGATAAACACAAAATAAGAGATATAAAGTGGTCTTACCGCGTCGTTTTCTAATAACACCATTTCTTCAGTGATGAATGAACTGCTAACATTTGATGATTAGAACACGTCGCTCAGCTGCACTGAAGCTCCGCCCCTTCGCGCGCTTCTTCTTCGTGCGCGTTGAGGCACAATCGCATGACGTCACTACCGCCCTCTAGCGGCGCCAGATCCACATCGCTACAGGATGATTTACTACGGGTACGCTTTTAATGTAGTAATAAACTCTTGTGTTGATGCTAAATGAGCTATTTTGAGTTAATTAACTGGAAAAATGTTTGTAATGTGTAATGTTGGACACATCTTCATGCACTCAACGGGCCCTTTGCGAACGGACTGTGACGACGCGATTTAACGGTCATTACCATCGTTTGTATTTGTTGTATACACACATTACAATAACATTGGCCATATATGCATGTATATATGTATATGTATACACACACACACACACACACACACACACACAAGTAGGGTACGGGCTACATACTTAATTTTAATAAAAGTTTATTTCATATAGTGCCTTAATACAGCTTCTTAAAGTGCTTTACATAGTAAATATACATAAAGAATAAAAGGAAAAAAATCAACAATGAATAACAGTCACCCTAAAAAAATATAATTTTCAAATATGATTTAAAAATTCCAAGTGACTGCATATATATTAGTAGGCTAAATAAATTTGAGAAAATGCTGATAATTTTTTTAAGAAAATGTTATTTTTTTTGTGTATACAATTACAATGAAATACACAAACATTAACAATGGTAAAAAAAAAAAATACAAATAAGAATATCTATCTATATTTGAAACACTGAAAATGAAAAACACTATTAAAACATCACATTCCAGCTACGTAAATTTATCAAACATATTACATTTTATTGAATTAGAAAATATTTTTTCAAATGAAATGGCCAAGAGGATTCCCTTATTTAGAGACATGCAAATAATACATATATAACGATACAAATATCAGTTTGTTTGAAACATGTGAGATGTACGTGACATTTATATTTCAAGTTTAATGCAGCGGTGAAGTGTGTGTATCTATGGTGTGTGTGTGGAGAACACACAGTCGTGGTTCGGCGTGAGCTCAGCGAGCGGGACGGCAAACTGCGAGTCCCAGTCTCGGGCAAACACGCCGTTCAACTGCTGATGGAACGAGTCTCCCTGCAAAGCATCCTGGGAAACCACCAAGCCCACTCCAGCAGTGGTGTTGAAGTAGTCAGCTGACCAGTTAGACGTGCCTGAACCCACACACACACACAGTGTTAGTTGTTCATATGAACTTTATACTTATAAAGTTTTACTTTATACGTTTTATACTTATAAAAACTATATATACAGGGATCGGCATTATGCAAGTGAATCAGTCATTGATTCGAGTAAACATGTTGCTTTTCCGGAAAAAAACTATATTTTTTGTGGTGTACAAAAAGCAATATTCAGTTCAGAGTTGTTGTTTTTTTACCTTTATAAAGGGCTTTTTATTCCCTAATCCTATTAAATAAATGCTTTATCTTTCATTTTTAATTCTTAAATTTGATCAATAAATTAAATTCGAATTATAAGGAAGAATTAAGACACTATAGGGTTTTTAGCAATCAAATTAAATAATTTACACTGAACAATTACAAATGCATTAAATAATGTTTATATTTAATTAAATTATGTTGTAAAGATTATTTTAAATATTTTTAAATATACAAATAAGAAATGTTAGGGGGAAAAAAGTATACTTTTAAACAAAGTAAATGGCACGTAGCCATCTTAATATTTAATATTTAAAGTGACTTTAATATTAACTATTTATATAATGAAAAAAAGTAAGTATTTTTACCACAGTGTGTTAACGGAGTGTCAGTATTATCCACTATCAATCGCCACTTACAATAGATGTAATAAACTCGGAGTCATTCTCTCATTAATGACGAGTCCTAATATATAAAAGTGCATTCAAATCGATTAATCGTGATTAATTGCATCTAATATAAACGTTTGTCTCTGTGTGTATATATAAATACATATATATTTATTTACAGTGAAGTGTCGACATTTACAGTGTAGTGTCGATAAATCGATTAATCACACCTATATGTATATATATATATTAGGGCTGTGCAAAAATTAATTGCGATTAATCGCATCCAAAATAAAAGTCTGTGTTTACATAATATATTTGTGTGTGCTGTATATAATTATTTTGTATATATAAATACACACACATGCATGTATATATTTAAGAAAATGTGTTATTCATATATAAAATATTTATATTTATATAATATAGATTATGTATATATATATATATATATATATATATATATATATATATATATACATAATCTATATTATATAAATATAAATATTTTATATATGAATAACACATTTTCTTAAATATATACATGCATGCATAGGTATTTATATATACAAAATAATTATATACAGCACACACAAATATATTATGTAAACACAGACTTTTATTTTGGAGGCGATTAATCGCAATTAATTTTTGCACAGCCCTAATATATAAATATATATATATATTTGAAGAGTTCAGATGCAAAAGCCTCTAAATGCCATTTGAAATTTTCATCTTTAATGATGATTTTTATCAAACTTGTATATTTAAGTTCAGTAATTTCACTTAAATAACAATTAATAGGTAATTATCATTGCCATTTAAGTGAAATTACTGAACTTAAATATACAAGCTTGATAAAAATCATCATTAAAGAAGAACATTTCAAATGGCATTTAGAGGCTTTTGCATCTGAACTCTTCATATATATATATATACACATACACACTATATAGAGAGCGCAGGGAAATGCTCACCTACATACGCCACTCTGTCGGTCACCATGTACTTGTTGTGGTTGACTCTGGAGTAGGGGATGTGCGACTGGTTCCCCACGGGAATGATAAACAGCCTCTGTGCAATGAAACCGCATTTAAAAACAGATTCATATCGGCGTCATCCTCGCATGGTTTACATGGACTCACCACTGCGATGTTGATGTTGTGGGACGGGGAGCGGAGAGCGTCTAACGAGCGGAGGAACGGCCACACGGACGGGTCAGTGTCTCGACCGCAGCTGACCAGCAGACTCACGGACACGTTCCTCTCGAAGGCCGAGCGCTTCAGGGCGTCTTCAATGACCGGCCAGTATCTGCGCCAACACACACACACACACACACAAAAATGGAGAATCACCATTATTTGTTTAAAATAGAGATCACGATTCTGAACAGACAACTACACAAAACAACAAATAATTTATATATATCAATATTTTTCAAATGAACGATTCAATGGATCACTCATAAATACTTCACTCATTTTATTCCTGGACAATTTAGCGTTTTGAACGAATCTCTTGAATGAATGATTCAATGACTTATTTACAAAAACGTCACTTGTTTTGAAACTGGACGAATCAAAGTTAAGTGAATCTCTTGAATGAATGAGTCCTTATGAGTGAGTCATTGAATCATTCATTCAAGAGATTCACTGAAATTTGATTCGTCCATTTACAAAACAAGTGACGTTTTTGTGAGTGAATCATTCATTTAAGAGATTCACTTTAAACTTTGACACATTCAGTTACAAAATAAATGAAGTCTTTATGAGTATCAAAGTGAATCTCCTGAATGAATCAATGACTCAACTTCACTTGTTTTATTACTAATTTATATATTTTATTTGTTTTAATTTACTCACCCCCATGTCATCCAAGATGTCCATGTGTTTCTTTCTTCAGTCGAAAAGAAATTAAGGTTTTTGATGAAAACATTCCAGGATTTTTCTCCATATAATGGACTTCAATGGGGACCAAACGGTTCAAGGTCCAAAAGAGAGTTTCAGTGCAGCTTTGGTGAGCGAAACCATCGGTCATTTCAAAAACAAATAAAAAAGTTTAAGTTTTATAAGCATAAATGCTCGCCTTGCTCTGTTCTCTATCCAGTTCGAACTGATTCATCAAAATGTACAAATCTTAGTTCATTTTGATGAACGAGTTCGAACAGGAGAGTCACGAACGCGCATCACAGAACAGAGAAAGGCGAGGATTTGTGCTTATAAAACTTAAACTTTGTTATTTTTTTAAAAACTACCGATTGTTTCGCTTGATAAGACCCTTATTCATTCATCAATCGTTTAAAGCCCTTTGAACAGTTTGGACTGAAACTCTCTTTTGGACCGTGAACCGTTTGGACCCCATTGAAGTCCATTATATGGAGAAAATCCTGGAATGTTTTCATCAAAAACCTTCATTTCTTTTCGACTGAAGAAAGAAAGACATGGACATCTTGGATGACATGGGGGTGAGTAAATTATCAGCAAAAGTTTATTTAAAAGTGAACTAATCCTTTAACTCAATCGGTGTTGTGTAAGCGCTGTGGAAACCCAGCTGACTTGCGTTGAAACTCACCCATGTTGATGGAAGTACTTGGAGGCGGGATAAAACTCCATGACGGCCACGTGTATGAAGACCTGCGCGTCTCTGATGGCCGACAGAATGGCATCGAGGTCTCGGGTTCGAGAGGCCGGACAGAACGCCGGCGGAGAGGCCTGAGGAAGAGGAGAGATGAAGGCTCTTCGACTCAACAAAGCTGCATTTATTTGATCAAAAATGCAGTAAAATTGTGAAATATTATTATGATGTAAATCATCTGTTTTCAATGTGAATATATAGTAAAGTGTAATTTATTCCTGTGATCAAATCAATCATTACTCCAGTCTTCAGTGTCACATGATCCTTCAGAAATCACTCTAATATGATGATCAAGACACATTTATGATCATCAATATGAATAATTGTTGTGCTGAATCATATTTTTCTAGAAACTGAGATGCATTTTTTTCCCCTCAGGATTCTCTCTTGTAACATTATTAATGTCTTTACTTTTGAACAATTCAATAATTTAATCCTTGCTGAATTAAAAATTATTATTATTATTATTATTTTTAAGTAGTAGTGCATATCTCACCAGTTAATTTGCCAACATTTCACCATTTTGATTGAGACTATTGGCTTTCATTTAGATAACTATTTCCATTTTTAATTGTTTGTAGTAAACCCAAGTAAATATTGTGTGAAATAAACATCTCATTTTGCTATAAATATCCACATCATATAATCGATTAGTCTGTTGATATCATCATCACTCATTAAAAACCCAGGAACAGGATGACATGACTTTATTAAACAACAGCAACATCACTATAATAAAACGTGCAGATACTCAATAAATTGTTACATTTATTATTACTTCCTTAATAGGGAAGAACCATAATAGTATTTAATAACATTTTTATTTTAGTTGCACTTTTATTTTGTTTTTATTTCTATTTACCTCTCATTTCTTTTTGCTTCGATTTTAATCATTTTAATACTTCAATGCGACATTTATAATTTTAATATATTTAAGTTTTTTATGTAATATATATATATATATATATATATATTTATTTTCAGCTTTATTTCCCTGTTCTGAAAATGATTTTCAATAGTTTTAGTTAACAATAACGCCTTACTGCCAGGCAACATTAGCATAGAATATGTGTCAAACACGCCTCATCCAATCAGAACTAGTATTATAATAGACCTCATGTAGCTCCGCCCCTTAACGTGCTTTCCACAACATAAAGGAAAGATCTTACATATTTATAAATGAACTGCTGGTTTTAAAGTCTTCCTGATCGTACTGACGATTGTTATGACATCCGGTTCAAACATTACAGCGCTCAGGATAAGTTTCATTAACTCTATAATACGTAAATCTGCTTGTCAACAAGCTTCTGAATGTGTGTGTGTTTGTGAGCGAGTGTAGTCACCGTGATGTAAACTCGACTGGCCACACCGCTGAGGTTGAGAGGCAGCGGATGCTCCTGGTTGATGGAGGTTTGGTAGGAGGACGGCCACGGGTCCGGGAGAGAAGTGTTGGAGCGACCCATGACCCAGTACGACTGGAAGATCTTCTGCAGGTCGGCGGCCAAACCACTGCAGTTGTAGATCACCACACCCAGCTCTTTCACCTGGAGGAGAGGTTATGTGTGCTGCCAAAACTGGAACTGATTGCGTGTTAAATCCACGAACGCAAATGCCGGGTCTCACCTGCGTTAAAGACCTCCAGTCCATGTTGGCGCTGCCGATGTAAACGTGTTTCCCGTCCACAATCCAGAATTTAGTATGAAGGACTCCTTTAGTCAAGCGGCCGAAGTTCACTCGTCGTACCTGTACTCCTACGTGAAGAAAAACACACAGTCACGACTAACTTCTGTTCTGAAATGAATCTTCATTTCCTTTAATCAAGAGTAGAAAAATAAAAGTGTGACTAATTATTTAAAGTCCGCCTGTAGTCAATCATTTTAGCCCTTAAAACTCATCTTTGATCACCAAAGTTACATATTTAAAAGTTTTTTCCTTGAAAAGAATGGCTTTGTGCCTTAAAATATCTTGAATGTAACTCGACACCCTCGCCTCATTTAGAATGCGCGGTTCTATGAATATGCGAATGAGCCCCGCCTCCACTCATTAGTTGGCGATCACACGTTGATCTGATTGGTTTCAAGCTGGTTTGTGACGTCAGAAAGTCTTTGGTTCACTGCAGTTTTAAGGAGGAAATACTCAGCAATGCTGTCCACTTATCAACTTACACACGGCGTGTGTTAAAGCAGATTAAAAACACTACATAGACACATGAACAAAAAACGCAATGAACTCTCCGTCTGCTCATCGCCTTTATTTATTTATTTTATTATATATTCTATTATATATTTTATTATATATATAATATTATATATTATATATATTATAATATTATAATATTCAAAAGCAAAATGTTATCTGTTTGACCACAAATGTAATTGACCACAAATGTAATTGACCACAAATGTAATTGAATATTTTACATGGCATTTTACTCCCTTTTTTTGAATGAGTGCATCTTAAAAACTAATTGATGTACACAGTTCAAATCAATTCTGTATAGTTTTAAACTGTTTTATGCACGTTTTTCACATTGACAAGTTTGAGGTTGACATTTATCATTTTTTGGTTTTTTTTTAAATAGTTTTTCTTTTTGTTTATTGCACTTTTGAGATATTTATCTAGTTACTATTGTTTGTTTTTTTTTAAACATAACCTTCAAATTGAGAGAGTAAGGATTATTTTGATGTATGGCATATGAAAATGCACAAAAGAATGACAGCACAGCATGTAAAAATAGAAAGATATACTCCGGTGGAATTGTTCTATGGCAGGTCATAAAGGGTTAAAAGCTGGATTTTCACCACAGGGGGACTTTAAAATAAATAATAAAGCACAGTTCCTGACCGCTTTCTCTCAGGACTCGCAGGTCTGTTGAATTGAGAGCCACAGTCGGGATGCTGGTCACCACTCGCACAGACACGTTTCTCGACGGTAACGCTCTGAACTCCTCTAATATCTCTCTGCCCTGAGACACAAACGTGACGTCGACAATCAAAAAAGTTCAATATGAAGGTGATGTGATGCCATAAAGAATCACATGCGCAGGGTAAGATTTGTGAAAGTGTACATACGACTGTAAGCGTAAATTGTGCAAGGGAAGGTTTGTAAAGGTGTAAATCACCAAATTCAAGTGCAAGAAAAAAATATTTGTTATTTGTTAGTGTAATGCATGTACTGTGAAACTGTACACAATACAGTGATGTGAATAAGTTTGGACCCCCATGCTAAAGTTGCCTAAAAAGAGGAATAAAAAATCATCTTTTGGATATTGATCTTAATGCCTTAATTAGAAAAATGAGGAAAACTCCAACCTTTTTAAGGACACCAATTTTCTTTATGAATGAATAATGTATCATAAATAAATAAATGTTTTTCCTTAAAATACAGGGTGCATAAGTCAGGGCACCCCTATGTTAAATTCCCATAGAGTCAGGCAGATTTTTATTTTTAAAAGTTTTTTCATGGATCCAGGATAATATGCATCCTGATAAAGTTCCCTTGGCCTTTGGGATTAAAACATCCTAGAATAACCACACCTAGAGATTGGCATGGTTTTACTTCAGTTAGCCTAATAGCTGGTTTGATTTGCATTGAAAGATGATCTTATGGAAAGTACCCCATGCCAATCTCTAGGTGTGGTGGAAGGTGTGTGATGATGATGTGGGGATATTTTAATCCCAAAGGCCAAGGGAACTTTATCAGGATGCATATTATCCTGGATCCATGAAATAACTGGCTTTTAAAAATAAAAATCTGCCGGACTCTATGGGAATTTAACATAGGGGTGTCCTGACTTATGCACTCTGTATTTTAAGGAAAAACATGTATTTATTTATGATACATTATTCATTCACAAAGAAAATTGGTGTCCTTAAAGGTTGGAGTTTTCCTCATTTTTTTAATTAAGGCATTAAGATCAATATCCAAAAGATGATTTTTTATTCCTCTTTTTAGGCAACTTTAGCATGGGGGTCACTGTAAATATGATCTGTATTCTTCTGACTTACACTTTTGGCATGGTTTTGGCACTGGCTGGTTCTGTATTTGCTCAAATTTATTTTTAATAATTTCTAACCTAAAAAAGTTACGGACTGCAGCTTTAATGAGCACATTCACAAAGCCTACCCAGCGCATGTGATTCCTTATGGCATCATATTACCTTCATAATTAAAATCCACCAGTATTTGCACATGCAGACATGGGTTTCTAACAGTGTTGCGTGTGCATGAGTCTCACAGCTCTGTCCGCGCTGGAGTTCACGTTGATGTCTTCAGCCGTCAGAGACCAGTAGAACGACGCCACGTCGATTTGTTCGGTGGCCGAAGACAGAAGATCCTTCCAGGCTTCAAACAGGCTTCCTCCAGCGCTGGCGTTTCTCCCGTAATCCATGCTGACAGGGAAACTCTCAACCAGAACCATCCTGGGAGAAAACAAGGCCACGAGTAATGACTGCTACCAATCAATCTACTTTCAAAACAAGCCAAACGTCTGTTTTCTGCTCCACTATGAAGAATGATTTAATACTTAAGAACAATTCAATTATTCTTCATAGTGGAGCTGAAAACACACGGTTGGCTTGTTTTGGAAGTAGATTGATTCGTAGAAGTCATTACTCGTGGAAAATTCAGTCTCAACACAAATTCACCACAACATGATCTAAAAATGACAGCTTTCTTACATTTCTCTCGAAACTATAAAGCAGAAGCTTAACTGAAAAAAACCCCTGAAATATAAATATAAATAAGAAGAAAAGTTTAATAATTCTTTCTAAGTATGTAATTTCGGTGTCTTGATCTTAATTATGTGTGTGTGTGTGTGTGTGTGTGTGTGTGTATTTAGTAAAAAAATAATAATAAATAGATTATATATGCATGTGTAAATATTATTTACACATACATACACACACTCAATTTATTATTATTTTTTATTATTAAGGTTATTTCTACTAAATCGAAAACTAAAATCTTTTAAAAAAATTACATATATATATATAAATATTGTATTACTTGAAATAATCATTGAGTGAAAGTGAAATAGGGTTTTTATTATTAGGGTTATTTTATTTATTTATTTATTTATTTATTATTAGTCATTTTAGTATTATTAGTCATTTTCTCATTTCTCACAAGTTCTAAAATAAGTCAAACTAAAATGTAACAAAATGATATAGACATTAAAACACAAAAAAATACTAAACTTTAACAAATTTAAATGAAAATAATTTTTTTAATCAAATTCAAACTATAATATCATATCAATGATACTAAAATAATACTGTCTCAAAGCCTATTGAAGCATTGAATTTATGTAACTTAAATTAAACTTCAAAGTAAATAAATACTGGCTCAAAAATGATCAATTCTATATCAATCTAAAATATTTCAGTCTGTTATAAATATTTCAGCTGAAAAACCCAAGTAATGTTATGAATTTAGAATAAATATGCAAGTATTCAAAATAAAATAATCAAAAAATATGACATTTTTATTGATTTAACTGATTTTCGCCAGGATTTCTTTTTTTTTTTGTCAAAGAATAGGTTGCTGATAATACAATAGTTGTTGTACTGGTTGGAGTGGATTTAACTTGGGGAATTCTTACAAGTTCAATGAAGTTGAACTAAAGGTCAGCTGGCATGTAATCAACGAAATCAATAGAGAAGCTGACTTCTCAAAGGTGACAGGAAGTGAAACAATGAAAACAGGAAGTTCGCTCACCTGCTGTGCTCATTGGGGACGGTGTAGTTACAGCATGCCGGTGTGTCATCTTCACTCTTTAGTTTCTCTATTACCACGATGGCCAATAAAACCCCTAAGACGATTAAACATCCAGTGGCCAACAGGACAGAAACAGGGCACTTTGAGTCCTGCAAACAGAAAAACATCACGTCCATATTAGATATAAATCCTCAAACCTGTGGAGGAGATGACATGCTCTTTAAAGGGTCTATATGTAGAATTCAGAAACCCTTGTTAACGATATAGTTAACGAACATCCCGACGCAGTTTACGCTGCTGAAGTCAGTCTCTTAACTTTCTGCCTTGCATCTCCTTGTGCCCCACTGAAAATAAGTCATACACATTTGGCACAAAATAACATGAGTAAATATCGCTTTTAATTTGCAATTTGACACTATATTTATTAGATTATGTTAGACTTCAATTTACTTATATACTTCTTTTTGTGTATTTAGCGTAAATACCTTTTTATTATTAAGCGTAAATACCTTCTCTTTATGGGTCTTATAGCTAGGGTTAGCATGCATGTATATTATTTATACAATTCATATGTTCTATAAATAATAAAGCAATGATAACTGAATGTGATTGTGTGTAAAAAAATATTACCACACAGGCTAATTTATAATTAGGAGTGAGATTTTTTTAAAACAAGTAGAAAATGTGTTTATTGTACAACATATCGTTTCAACGTTAGGAAAGCTCGATTTTCCATTAGTTTTCAATGGCGTGTCTGACGTAAAACTGTGTTGAGCCTTTCATTCGATATTCTTACACACTGTAGAAAGAATATATTTGCCTTGGTTGTGTGTATAATTTTGTATTCAATAATAATAATGATAATAATAAATAATTAAAAAAACATAACGTTTAAACTTTAAAAAAAGAAAAGAAAGATATTTGTTCATTGTTTCGATGTCAAGAGAAACGTAGTTTCTGAGTTTATTCAGCGTCAGTTTGCTAAACTGGGTTCCTCTCTCATTAACTAAAAAATAAACAAAAATGACAAAGCAGCAATTCAGAAAACATAGCGATGTGGATATGAATCAGATCTGCGATTCGCCGATAATGTTCTCGGGAGCGCGCGTAACCGTAACATCATTTTGATTTTCCCGCCGGCAAAAGCGTCCCGAGTCCTTCACATAAAAAAAAATCTACACGGGCGTCGGGGAACTTTCGTATTTAAGTTACAAGCTGTTCACAAATTGGGAATAAAAAGGTGACTAATACATGACAATTATTACAAAAAGCCCATTTAAAGCGTCACTTACCTTGGTGTTTGACACATAATTGTCATGTAAGCTCTGATAAGAGGTCCGTTTTTGAACACCTCGTAAGCGTGAAGATCTAAAAGTAGAACATGTAAAAGCTGATTGACATCGACCAACTGTTCAGAGAAAGAGTTGGTACAAGGCAAGCATCATCCAATCTACAGCTGAAACGAGTTTATATTCTGTTATAAATCAACGATAAACAGTTATACGTGATAAAGTGCCGTGAACTTACTCAGACATGTCAAGCAGGTGTTGATTGTATTCTTGTGTGAAGCACAAAGGGAAATACTCAGTCATTAGTTCCTCATTAGCTTTTCATTTCTGTTTTTATGCCACTTTAACATTCATGTGATGATCAAAAGAGCTTTTAAAACATCTATAAATCACATCTTAAATATAATTAACTGACAAACAAGTTTTCTGAAAGGTAAAAATACACATGCACTAGAACATATGATCAAAATACATGAATTAATAATAGCTTCAGCTGTGCTTAAACACACTGACATATCAAAATCATTACTTTGATAGAAGGAAATCAGATTCATTTATACAAGACAACAGCTCAAAGCACATTTATGCATCAAAATCGGTTTTAAAATATGAATGTATTTTAAAAAAAATGCATAAGGAGAATCACAATTAAAGGTTGATTATGGTCATCTTCTGTGAGTTAAATGCACAGATTTTAAGGCAGCAAAACCACACTGAACAATATTTGGTATTGGATTAAATTTTAAACAATTTTCACTCACACACAATTACACAGAAACGGCAGGTGACAGAAATAAACATGAAATAAAGAAAGACCGAGGCGGTATTTTCTTGTGAAAATCTTTGTTTACAACTTTAATATCTAACGCTCATGTTAATATATATAATATTATACTGTATGCATGCTGAATAATATTTCATACCTCGTTCAGTGCACGTGAGTTTGTCCGAACACACGTCATACAGGCATTAAAGACCACGAAAGAGTGTCAGAAACTCCCGACTGCTCAGAGTTTTACTTTCATTTCGGGAGAAACACGACCGGAGCTTCAGTTGCACACCATGTTCATGCAAGCGTTTATATGGAGGTGCAGGAGCTCTTAACTCCGGTTAAAACAACTATTCAGGTTCATTGATGTAGATCAACATCATGAGCTCATTCTGATATCAGAAAAACGAGACCTCCGTGGAAATAATGACAAAACAACAAAACAATTACATATGAATTCTTTAATGATCTTTAACATACAAATACCCTGTCCGACAGAGACAAAAAGAGATTTAAATAATCATGTAAATTACTTGTGCTTATATTTCCAAAACAACCATCAAAAAAGAAAAAGTGACAAAAAAAATCATAAACAGTGTATTTACAGTTATTACATGTAATGCCAAATTTTGTGTGGTTTCTCAACGCCACAAGCTGCTGAAATCGGTTTGGAGCAAATATAAATGTGCAAAAAAAATATATTAAACGCATCATATTCTCTCAAATGCCAGTGATTTTCATGAGGAGCTTGTGCCAAAGCAGCGATCGGACTAGACGTGTTTGATACTAAACAGCCTATATAGATTTAGCCTTGCGCTGAAATCATTAGCAAAGTGACTAGTGATGATACACACACACACACCGATGGTCATACCAGTGACCCTTCCCGGTCTGAGCTTCTGAACATGCGTCGGGTGTTCGGCGTCGGTCCTCCTCCTCCTCCTCGGTGTGGCGCTCTGGAGTCCCGGGACGAGGCTCTGGAACTGCGAACCCCTGCCGAGGAAAACGTCCTGCCGAGATCCGGGTTTCCTCGCGGGTCTATGATGGTGTTGATGACTGAAGGAGACACGAGCGAGTTACCTCTCCATCTGAAGCTCATTTCAGGAGTAATGCGAAACATTTTATGAAACAAAACGATTCAAATTCGCATGGATATGCGGGCGCAACAAAAAAATTATTAATTCCAGGCAAGTAATTTGGTGCGGTCAACTATTAGGGCTGTGAATCTTTGGGTAGACAGCAAATCGATTCGATTCACGATTCATAGGTTTTCGATTCGATTCAAGAACGATTTGTGCAAATTCAGAACGATTCAATTCGATGCGATTCGATTAATTCGATTCTTATTTTTTTATATGCATTATAGTATATTATTTCAATGCTTCACCCGATAGGTCTTTGTCTGGGTTTGAATTACAGAGAAGCCTTCGGGGGTCAGATAGTGGGGATTTTGTCCATTGTTAATGTTAGTTCATGTTTGTTTTTAATTTTAATAAATATATTATTATTAAAAAAAAAAAAATCAATGGCCTACAAATTACTACCATTTGTATAAACCTACCTAAGTAGCCAATATTTTGAAAAAGGCTTTTAAAGTATTGCATTAAATAACTACATGCACAAATTAATTAATGGAGACATTTTTATTAGTTAAAGGAGTAGTTCACTTTTGAAAAAACTTTTGCTGATAATTTCCTCACCCCCATGTCATCCAAGATGTCCATGTCTTTCTTTCCTCAGTCGAAAAGAAATTAAGGTTTTTGATGAAAACATTCCAGGATTTTTCTCCTTATAATGGACTTCAATGGGAACCAAACGGTCCAAGGTCCAAAAGACGGTTAATAACAGTTTCAGATGCAGCTTCAAATGTCTTTAAACGACACCAGACGATGAATAAGGGTCTTATCATGCGAAACGATCGCTTATTTCAAAACTTATTCCGTTTGTAACGTCACGTAATACGTAATTACGTTCAAAAGGTCACGGGCGACGTAGCCGGTGACCTTTTGAACATAATTACGTAACGTTGCAAACGCGCCTCACAATATATTACAAGGCTAGCATTTGTCCTTAGAAAAGTTACATTTTTGGAATAAGCTTTGACATAACCGATCGTTTCGCATGATAAGACCCTTATTCATCGTCTGGTGTCGTTTAAAGCTGCATCTGAAACTGTTATTAACTGTCTTTTGGACCTTGAACCGTTTGGTCCCCATTGAAGTCCATTATATGGAGAAAAATCCTGGAATGTTTTCATCAAAAACCTTAATTTATTTTCGACTGAGGAAAGAAAGACATGGACATCTTGGATGACATGGGGGCGAGTAAATTATCAGCAAAAGTTTTTTCAAAAGTGAACTACTCCTTTAATGGAGATGTTTTCATTAGTTTCATTTTGCATCCTCTCGTGCACTCGTTAACATCTTTTCACTGGATTTTGCTCGCGCTTGGTCCCATAACCCTCATGTACAGATTTTTGCTCGCTCTAGATTCCGGGAGATTTTAACTTATTTGTGGTATAACTAGCCGATCACGACACGAGTAGCTCAACAGGTAGAAGGATAAACTCATCTTTCAGGCATTTGACCGACCGGGCTTCAGCGTGAGAAATCAGGGGTGTGTGAGCGCGTGAAACCAATCAAATGCGGGTGTCGTACGGCCAATGCGTGAGGCAGCTTGTACCAGGAACACTTTATAGTTGTGTTTATATATTTTAAACCACTGAATCGCTATAGAATCGCGATTAATTCGATTCTTAGCCTTTTAAATCGATTATTCAGGTAAATAAACGATTCACGATTCAAAATACACGTTTCAGGATCAATGCATATGCGTCGTCAGGATTTGTAATCGATGCATCGAGAAAACGAGTGAATCGTTACTAGGGTTGGGTATCGAGAATCGTTTGGAACCGAGACTAACTTTTCGTTTTTCCCGGAATCGTTCAAAAGTAAAAATTTCGATTCCTAGTTTCGATATTCACAGTCCGCCGAGCGGAAGAAGAAACCGCTGAACAACACCAACGAAGAAGCGTCCACCGGAAGTGTTGGCATAACCGCGCGAGTCGAACATGAGTAGCTTACGTCGGCGATCCAAAGTGTGGCTTCACTTTTCTAAAAATAACGAAATCTCGGCAAAATGCAAAATTTGTGACAAAAGGAGTATTTTTACAGAAGGAGTATTTCCTTCAGAAAGGCCGTTGGTTAGCAAGGTTAGCTAAACTTTTTTGACCCCGCCTCTTAAAAGAATCTGAATCGAGAATCGTTAGGAACCGGAATCGAAACAAGGAATCGGAATCAGAATCGTTCAAATTTAAACGATACCCAACCCTAATCGTTACACCCCTATCAGCTACACACCTGCGCACATATATATTCACACTAGGGCTGTCACTTTTTTTGAGACATAAGGTGTCTCCATGTCTAAAGACGTTTCCATTTTCAACACCAAATACAGGCAAATCCACGGACACCTAACAGGCATTAGGACGAGCGTAAAGAGGCGCTTGAGACTCAAGTCAGCAATATTCCTGATGATTTATTGGCGTGAAGTTTCGTCACAATGATAAACAGGAGTGCAACATTCAGGGATTGAGATTATACACACTCGAATCGCTAAATGTGTGTAAAAATGAACTTTGGCGGGAAATGCTGTCAAATCACGAGCCAATCAGGCGTGTTTCTGTGTTTACTCGCTTTGCTGGGGAAGTTCGTGTATGCAGAATCTGCACGGATTTAGTGTAAATACGCAACTTGTGATCCTCATGATATATTAAATACAGCGTATTGAACACAATCTGCGCATTTCTGGCTCACTTGAACACACACGTCACTACGCAACAAATAACAGCGCGCTTGTTCACTTGAACTGAAGTAATAGAGAATATTAAAAAGCATTTGGTGAACAGAAAAGACACTGTTATTTTACAACATCCGACATGTTCTGTGTGCTGATCTGTCCACCTAAAACACATATTTTGGAAATAAATAAATAAAGGCCATTAAAATTGATTCCCTATTTCTGTTTTCGAAACTTGTTGGTTGGTCCGATCGATTGTGCAATCGATTTTTTGACCCTAATTCAATTAAAAATAATGAATAATCGATCAAAACTATCTTTATCTGGTCAATAACTTTATTCTAGAGCTGCAGTAAAGTTAGTAGCCTAAACACTGTTACTGTAATCTCCTGTTTTCACTGTAAAGCTGCTGTGAAACATCTATAGTGTTGAAAGCGCAGTATAAGCGAGCATCGCTGACCTTCCAGCTGTTTCTGAACTCTCCTCAGCTCTTTCAGAATTGATGCAATTTCCTACAAGACGAGCAAGGAGATAAAAAGAAGAAAAAATTATTATTTGTCACAAACAACTATTCAGTATTAAAAACAATAGCTATGTTAATCTCAACATTTACTGACAAGTTTTTAAGATCAAAAGTCGTATCTGTTGACATTAGTTAATGCACTGAGCTAACATGAACACTAATAAATGTTAATAAATGCGGTAAAAATATATATTTCTCATTGTTAGTTAACAAATGTAAGCTTATTGTAAAGTGTTACACTTTAGATATAAACCAGTCAGGGTTATTATTGTTAACTACAAAGAAAAACAGAAAAGAAAAATTACATATGTTTAGTACTTGAGAAAAAAAAAGTATTACAGTTAGTTCAATGAAGTTTGTTATTAGTAACATTTATTCAGGGAAAGACAAAACGAGACTCGCCTTGTTTGACGTTTTCAGTGGTGGAGCATCATCAGCCGCATTGATTTTCGCCTCCATTTCACTCAAAACATCCATCTTATTATGAAACAAAACCCTGAAAAACATGACAATATGTGAAAATGAAAAAAATCAGGCATTTAACTAGCTCGAGATTCAGATTCTGAGTGTTTTATTTAGTGCCATGTCAGCGTCCAAGGCTGTTTTCATGGCAAACATTAAATTATACAAAACATATAAATATAATAAAAAGCAAACAAACAAAAACTGCCAAGTCATATTATACAAGAAATTTTAAATTAACATATGATAAAAAAAAAATCCAAAACCTTTTCAGGCATAATCTTACTAAATAAATCCTTAAGTGAAGTAACTGGTACTTGTATTAAGTCCAGGACAATCTAATAAAATATGTTTAAAGTTTAGGGGAATCCTTCAAAACATGCATATAGTGGGTCTTCGCTAGCTACAAGAATATAAAAACAGGGTAAAAAGAGATGTTAAAGCAACCACATGAAAAGCATCTTGTGAAACTCACTTGATCTTCTCGGTCAGTTGCTCAGTGTTCTCGCGGATGGCCAGGGACAGCTGGGACACCGGATTCAGCATCACGTTATTCAGTGTCACCTGAGGAGAAGAACGAGGTTTACAGCTCAGTGAACGATTAATCGCAATGTTCGGAGAGATATGTGGTGTGTGTGTGTCAGAGAGCGCCCTCTGGTGTTCAGAGAGATATGTGGTGTGTGTCAGAGAGAGCGCCCTCTGGTGTTCAGAGAGATATGTGGTGTGTGTCAGAGAGAGCGCCCTCTGGTGTTCAGAGAGATATGTGGTGTGTGTGTCAGAGAGAGCGCCCTCTGGTGTTCAGAGAGATATGTGGTGTGTGTCAGAGAGAGCGCCCTCTGGTGTTCAGAGAGATATGTGGTGTGTGTCAGAGAGCGCCCTCTGGTGTTCAGAGAGATATGTGGTGTGTGTCAGAGAGAGCGCCCTCTGGTGTTCAGAGAGATATGTGGTGTGTGTGTGTCTGAGAGAGCGCCCTCTGGTGTTCAGAGAGATATGTGGTGTGTGTGTCTGAGAGAGAGCGCCCTCTGGTGTTCAGAGAGATATGTGGTGTGTGTGTGTCTGAGAGAGCGCCCTCTGGTGTTCAGAGAGATATGTGGTGTGTGTGAGTCTGAGAGAGAGCGCCCTCTGGTGTTCAGAGAGATATGTGGTGTGTATCAGAGAGCGCCCTCTGGTGTTCAGAGAGATATGTGGTGTGTGTGAGTCTGAGAGAGAGCGCCCTCTGGTGTTCAGAGAGATATGTGGTGTGTGTCAGAGAGCGCCCTCTGGTGTTCAGAGAGATATGTGGTGTGTGTCAGAGAGAGCGCCCTCTGGTGTTCAGAGAGACCCGGTTCGACCCGAACCGTCGGCTGAAGAGAAGCACTGATACCTCGTCTTGCTTTGCACTCGGGCCCTCAGACTCCTCACACGCCGGCGCTGCCACTGGAGACTCTTTCTGGACACTCACACTGGCTTCGGGAATCTGGTGCCGCAACTGAAAAACAACAACATGAAAAGTTTTATTGTATTTATATGATATTTGTATTTTTATAATTTAATGTTTGCCATGAAAACTCGTTTTGTCTTTCCCTGAATAAATGTTACTAAGAACAAACTTCATTGAACTAACTATAATATATTTGTTCCAAGTAATAAAAATGTTTGGTTTTTTTTCGTTTTTTTTTTTTTTTTTTAGTTAACAATAATAAAAGTGTAGAGCATGAAAAAAACAGTTATGTGGATAAAACATGAGATAAACAATAACAGGCCTTCATAAGTGAAAGAAACCTTACCGCACATAAAACACAACATTAGATATTCAAGCATATTTGAAAATGACAGAAAACATCAGTTGTTTTAAATGTATACAATAAGTCTGTAACTATAGAGTAGTTTGGGATCAGATTCCCTTCTTTTCAAAGAAGTTTGTTTTTTTATTCAGTAAGGATGCAGTAATTTTCTGCCATAAATTGATCAAAAGTGACATTTATAATGTTACAAAAGATTCTATTTCAAATAAAAGCTGTTCTTTTGAACTTCCAATTCATCAAAGAATCCTGAAAAATAACATTTATAATGGTTTTCACAGAAATATGAACGGTTTTCAACATGGTTGAAATGAGTATCAAATCATCATATTAGAGTGATTTCTGAAGGATCATGTGACACTGTATTTTATTCCTGTGATCAAAGCTGAATTTTCAGCATCATTACTCCAGTGTTTATTCTATTCTATTCTAAAAATCATAATATTATTTCATTATTTCCCCCCTGTATTTTTGATCAAATAAATGCATGAACAGCACCTCCTCGTGGGCAGATATGGCGGGTCCCATCTTGTCTGTAGAAACACTCTGAGCTTCTGGATCTCCAGCAACATCATGAATCTCTTGGGCCAGAATAGCCAGATCTTTGGCCAGGTCCTGACTCAATCTAGCAAAGGACATGCAGAAAAATGACATTTTTAGAGGCAAATTGACATCAAAACAAACATTTTAAAAAGTTAGGGGCAATGCAGTAGTACAAGTAATAATTCTTTTGTTTTTTGGGGGGTAATTAATACATAATTTGAATTCACACCATAACCGTGCGTTCACAACGCCGCCGGCGAGAGCGTCAAAGTGGCGGGAAGTCATTCATTTCCAATGTGAAGCTCCAGCGATAGCGGTCTAGAGAAGTTGAAGTCTTCGGTAGACCGATTAATCGGACGATTTTTGGCATTTTTTAACATAATCGGTATCGGCCAATATCCAAGTATATCAAGCCGATTATTGGGCAGGCGCATCTGTGGGCAACAACAGACGGACGGTGCGTTGTGGTGAATTTAAAGTTTTTGTAAAATATAATTTTCCCATCTGGTGGTTGTTTTTGTCGTTCAACAGCAATTTACTAGTGAAATACGCTATTGTTAGAAGTTAAATTAAATAAAATATAATAAATCGTATATATAAAAAATTTAATCATTTAAAGGTTTTTTTTCTCCTTTTTTGTGATAATTAGGTTATGTCCATTTGTCTTTGTCCGCCAACAAACAAAACAAACCAAAAATACATGTTTCAGGACATTTTTTGAGAGGATAAAATGTTTTTGTTGAAAAAGTTTGTCTATGTTAAGTAATTATCATTTCTTTTACATTTTATCTTTCAAATAGAGGTTAAAAACCAAGCAAATATCGGCCATCGACCGACCCGGATTTCAAAATATCGGCATCGGCGTGAAAAAAAAACCATATCGGTCGACCTCCAATTAATTTAGTTCATTTATATATAAATAGCCGCTCTGGAGAAAACCGTGATGTCATGGTTCAGCTCAGTTTTCATATGATGGTGTCAATGGGGACAGATTAATAATATTGTTGAATATTAAATTAAATGTCCCCTATTAAGCAGGTCAAAAGCCAATGGCGACACAGGCAAAAAAAAAAGCGACAATCCAAAATTTGTCAAATTAAATTTTTCATGACTTGATTATGTGATTCCGTCTGCATTTTCCACGAAAATCATGTGATCGATCCGTCCTCACCTGGCAATCTCTGCGCTATGAGACGTCCAGTTCTGGAAGGCGTCGCTCTCGTGTCCTTCCCCCTCGGAGTCTCTGGAACGGGGCACGGCTCGCACCGGACCTGCTGGATGGAGACTGGGGTTCTGCTGGGCCCCTGAATGATGGGAGCGTTTGTGTTTAGGGGTGCTAAGGTTAGACTCGTACTCATCCTCTGAGGTGGAGGCGTAGTCTGAACCCTTCTGGCGCCTCCTGGAGCCTTGGCCCAGGGAATTGGGAATGGGGAGCGTTTGGTACACACCAAGTCATCAGAGGATGGGATAGAAACCAAAATAAAAAAGCAGACGTAGAAAAAGACAGAATAAGACACCCGAAAAACCAACAAACCACTTCCCATTTGTCAGTGGGGTCCAATTGCCCAAATGGACTCTAGATTGTTAATCCCATCAGGAAAAAAAAATTACCTTGATTTTCACAATATACCGGTTAAGTTTTTAGTATATTATTAATTTTTGAATTTGGAGACTTGTTAGTTACAGACAGTCATTAGCCCAATTGTGCAATTCAAACAAACACGCACAAATCAAGTCGAAGACCGTTGGAAAAGTGAAAGAATTGAGAGAGAGCGCCCTCTGGTGTTCAGAGAGATATGTGGTGTGTGTGAGTCTGAGAGAGAGCGCCCTCTGGTGTTCAGAGAGATATGTGGTGTGTGTGAGTCTGAGAGAGAGCGCCCTCTGGTGTTCAGAGAGATATGTGGTGTGTGTGTCTGAGAGAGAGCGCCCTCTGGTGTTCAGAGAGATATGTGGTGTGTGTGAGTCTGAGAGAGAGCGCCCTCTGGTGTTCAGAGAGATATGTGGTGTGTGTGTCTGAGAGAGAGCGCCCTCTGGTGTTCAGAGAGATATGTGGTGTGTGTGTCTGAGAGAGAGCGCCCTCTGGTGTTCAGAGAGATATGTGGTGTGTGTGTCTGAGAGAGAGCGCCCTCTGGTGTTCAGAGAGATATGTGGTGTGTGTGTCTGAGAGAGAGCGCCCTCTGGTGTTCAGAGAGATATGTGGTGTGCGAGTCTGAGAGAGAGCGCCCTCTGGTGTTCAGAGAGATATGTGGTGTGTGTGTCTGAGAGAGAGCGCCCTCTGGTGTTCAGAGAGATATGTGGTGTGTGTGAGTCTGAGAGAGAGCGCCCTCTGGTGTTCAGAGAGATATGTGGTGTGTGAGTCTGAGAGAGAGCGCCCTCTGGTGTTCAGAGAGATATGTGGTGTGTGTGAGTCTGAGAGAGAGCGCCCTCTGGTGTTCAGAGAGATATGTGGTGTGTGAGTCTGAGAGAGAGCGCCCTCTGGTGTTCAGAGAGATATGTGGTGTGTATCAGAGAGCGCCCTCTGGTGTTCAGAGAGATATGTGGTGTGTCAGTGGGGTCCAATTGCCCAAATGGACTCTAGATTGTTAATTCCATCAGTAAAAAAATTACCTTGATTTTAACAATATACCAGTTAAGTTTTTAGTATGGTAATCTAGTTGTCTTCAATATTATTAATTTTTGAATTTGGAGACTTGTTAGTTAAAGACGGTCATTAGCCCAATTGTGCGATACAAATAAACACGCACAAATCAAGTCAATGACCGTTGGAAGAGTCATTTAGAGAAAAGTGAAAGAATTTCACATCAGAAAAGTCTTGTAGTTTTGTTCTTCGCCAAGGATCTTATGGTACTAAATTATATTAATGCTGAATTTATAATTAATTTATTCACTTTTTTAGCATAGACCTGAAAATTACATTTCACAATTTACACAATTTAACTCTTAAATCTTCAATAAATCCTAATAGTAAATAAATAAATCCTAATCCTCTAGCATTGACTTGAGTTTGATCCCTTTTAAAAAAACGACACTTGGCAGCAAATTTTTTTTTTTTTAAAAGTGAACTTAAAAAAAAGTTACAGAATTTTATATTTATTGCTATGAAAAACGTGCAAAAATACCATTAAATTTTTACATAAAATATTTTTTTTTTCAATGATATGTTTCACTCTAAAAATGTGAGAAAAATCAAAGCCATAGATCTAAACAAGTTGTGTTAAAAATGTATGATTTTGTTTGGGCGCAGTTTCAAAAGTGCTCATTTTTAACCAAGTTTGACTATTTTTTTCCAATTTATTTCCAATTTATTCACTTTTTGAGCATAGACCTGAAAATTACATTTCCAATTTCAACGGTCTTAAATCTTGAATCTTTTAGCACTGACTTAAGTTTGATCTCTTTTAAAAAACAACACTTGGCAGATTATTGCTGAAGTGAAAAAAAAGTTAAAAAGTGAACTTTAAAAAAAATATATATTTTGTGCAAAAATTTAAAATGGTATTTTTGCATATTTTTCATTGCAATAAACATAAAATTCTTTAACTTTTTTTAAAGACATGTTTCACTGAAACTGTGAGTAAAATCAAAGCCATAAATCTAAACGAATTCAGTAAGATTTTGTTTGGCCGCAGTACCAAAAGTTCCCACTAGTTGAAATTCGTTAATTTCCAATGCGCTCGTTTTGTGTGACTATTCTTTTCAGTCCCATTTACCCTTTTTGAATCAAGTCCATGATTATTTTGTGTGTGTTGTGTTCACATAGCAAGTACGAAAACCTTTACCAATTTTCGTACCGTTCCGATGAAGAAAAATAAAAATGTGTAATATAACGTAATATAAACGTAATATAACGTTTACCTTGCATTGAACAATATTCAGGCAAATCTCTCAATGAAATAAGCAAACACAGAAGCCCTTCTGAAGCATGATACTCACTAGCAGTGCTGCTGGCGTATTTAGCGCTGCTCGAGCGTCCGCGAACGATCGGCTGCCTGTTCATGGCGTTCGAAACCTTCTTTAGAAGAGCCTTGTGATCCGGCACTGAAGCTTTCCTCACGGAGCTCCCCGACTCCATGCTTCGGTTCGAAAATCCCGTCCGGCTCGCGGAAGACTCCGTGTCACTGGTAGCGTTTATAGAGCTCGTCCTTTTCCTGGGCAAAGCTAAAATGTCCAATCGAGAGAGTTTCTTGCTTTCCTGAGCGCCTCGGACGTTCCCCGAGGGATTGACGTCGGAGTTCTGAGACGTTCGGTCGGTTTCGGTGCCTTCGTTGTCGGAGGCGTCGCCCAAGCGGGACCGGCGAAGCATCGAAGCTCGCGTGGCTCTCGGAGCGGAGAGGCTATTGGAACGAGCTAGAGCTTGTTGCACCGTACCTTTGGATTTGCTCGTACCTTCCTTCTGAAGAGGAATTGTGTACTTTTTGTAAGGTTGGGAATTCGATTCCTGGTCGGAAACTACGTCACGTCTTACGGCGGGACTTTGACCTTCTGGCGCAAAGTCGAGAGAACTGAGATTACGACGGCGCTGAATACTCTTCCCATCACTGTCCTTTGGATCATCGGGAGTCTTGGGTTCTCTTGAATACTGTCCGGTACCTTTTAAGAGTCCTCTGATGTCGACAAGCTTCTTAGGAACAGAAACCAAAGCGTTTTTGCCACTGATTGTACTGGAAGTGTCCGATTCTTCCGAGAAGGAGTCCTCAATATGGGGGCGACCGTTGTTTTCCTGCTGGTCCAGAAGCTTGGCTTCCAGAGACGCTAAAACATCCTCAGTGTCTTTGAGGTACGACCGAGTGTCTTGATTGCTTACACCTTTAAAAGCATCTTTGCCTAAGGGTTGACTGGATATCTGAGGCAATCTGGACAACTGGATGTCATCACTAGCCCTTACTTTCGTATAACTTTCTTGTCTGAAAATAGACACTGAACTGTCCGCACTAAGAGAGTCATCCTTGCTTGGGTTATTCCCATGCTGTCGCGTTAAAGTAGCGGTGGAGAATTTGGGAGGCGAATCCATATCTTTCGTCTCTTCTTGATTGGGTTGCGTATTTGAGGACCGGCTCCACGTCTTGTAAGCGGGGTCAGGAGTCGTCCTGCTTTGCTCGACCACTGATCCATCATCGGACCTGCTGGCATCACTCAAGCTGTCTGGATCCAGGTCATCTTGGACACTTAGTTTCTGTGGATCCCACTTTTGCTTCTGAACTTGCAAACCGGACAGGTATGAGTCAGGCTGGATGTGTATTGCGGGCGGTGGCGTCTCAATCTTCTCCTTTAAAGGAACCGGAGGCAGAACTCGTCTTGATCTGCTGCTGTGACCTGTTTCAGAGTGGTTACCAGTTCAGTTAAGCATAACTTGGTGGACGATCCTTTCACCAGCTTTAAGACATAATTTTTTTTTATCAATCAATTTTTCTTTATTCAGTCATGATGTTATTATAGACACAACAATAATCTCCACTACAACAAAATAATAACATTCATTACTGAATAGGAGCATAAAGAAGACATAGTCTTATAAATTAATGCCCCTTTTTTTCAATAATCTAAGCTTATACAAAACAGATGGCTCGCCATTTTTTATTTTTATTTTTTATTTATTTTTTTCTTCCGTTCCCCTATCCTTTCTATATATATATATATATATATATACATACATATACATATTTCTTCAGTATTATTTCACATCTCAGCAATTAACAATTACCAATTTAGAAAAAAACAAAAAACAACAACAAAAAAACAAAACAAAAATAAAACATTGTTTCTTATGCTTCATTTCCTTCGTATTTTTCATATTTTTTGTACATTTTATTGAATTGAACAATCGTGTTACATGATTTTTTGACCTCTATCCAAAGAGTTCCACAAACTAATCCCAGTTACAAGGAACCCCTTTTGTTTTTTTGAGGTACGTGAATATGGTACCCTAAAATTGCCTTTTCTTCTGTTGTTATTGTCTGTGATTAACATGAATTTATTTTTAATATGTGTTGGTACGAAATTATTTTTCACTCTCCACATAATTTGTAGTATTTTGAAACTGACCAACTCTTTAATTAATAGGAAAAATCAAACAAGCTTGCAAAGATGTATCGTTTTTCATGTGATTTGCGGATTATTTGCTAAGTTTTACCATCATAGAGTGAAAGAATCATTTGCATGGGTTTTTAAGTCGAGTCAGGCGTGTTTTCTGCATGCACACTAGGGCTGTTGGAACGAATTCCGAAATTTGAATATAATTCGAAAAAAAAAAAAAAAAAAAATCAATACTATTTGAATGCTAAAGTTACTATTCGAATAATGCTTTTATATATATTTAAAAATAAATATGAGGAGTTTGGTTCCAAAACGCGATAAATGCCATTTTAAAAGAAATTGAGTTTTGCATCTGGTCGGTCTTGAAAAGTCAAAGTTTAATTTTACCTAAAATGCGATATCCGCCGTGTTATTATGTAATGTTTTCTCCCTTTCTTTCTAAACCGCGACAAACGCCAGTCTCCCTTTTCTGCAAAATGCGATACATCCGCTCAACCAATCACAACGCACAATTCTACGCAATGTAAACAGTAACGGCAGCGCTTTAACTACAGGCTGTTGCTTGTTCTCACACGACCGCGTCAAACTTCTGTCATGCCGACACACTGACATCATGAAAAACTTTCGGTTGTTTTATTCAAAGTCAACGAAAACCGAGCAGGACCAAGCCATTTTACAGCTGATCGCCATCAAAAAACTTCAGATGCGACGTCCCAAGGTTGACAACAGCGATATGCAGAATAGTTAGCGTTAATGTTTTAATTAAGGAGTTTTTCATCCATGAAGTCCTGAATGAAAAAAAACGTTGAACTGTTAAAAAAAAACATTGTTAGTTCCTGGTGATATTAATGTATAAATGAATGCATAATTCATGACATGTACCCTTACCGTAAAGTGTTACTGAATATTGTTATATTGATATATTTTATTAATTGATGAAGAAATAGTATGCACAAGACAATCAATACAACAAAGATGTCTGAAATATTAATGTAATTTTCTGTAGTCTAGAGGTGTCATGGGCGAATCAGTTTTAAATCTTCTTTACAATTCTATTTTGAACAGTTTTGCACATGATTTTATATTAAAGCAATGGATTTATATGCACAAGAAAACAAATTCAATGTGTATACAATTTAATTTTGATTAATTGCATTCTGAAAAATAAATAAATAATGGATTTATTGCATTTTGGGGAAAAAAAACTATCTGTTTATATAATAAATCTTTGAAAATCAAAACCTGGATTTAATTTTTTATTGTTATTATAACCTACAAATGCTATGTGAAAATTTGAAACAGAAAATAGTTGTTTTCATCTTCCCATTTTCTTGCTAAAGAAAAGACAGTTTTACTCAAATTGATCAAAATGGATTTATAGCGTTTTGGAACCAAACTCTTCATATATACTTCTGAAGTGACCAGGTGTAAACGGCCCCTTAGATCGCGTGCTTATTAACAATAGGAGAGCGCGGGACTAGCTTTCGCGTGGCACATTCGCAAGGTCTCGTTCACTCCCTCTCTGCCATGAACGCGCCGCCGCGCTATGTATGTTATGCGCGGATTCCGGGAGATTTTACCTAATTTGCGGCCATCAGGGAGACGCAATCAACATGCGGGATTCTCCCGGAACTTCCGATGCGATATGACGATCACATCACCTCAGATCTGAGCCAACGCGCCGCAATCTATCGCAAATCAAAGTGAAAGTAAGTCGCAGACGCTTAACGAGTTCTCCCGAAAAATCTAATATCGCAATGCAAGTTTATTCTAATATCGTGCAGTTCTTTAGCAAAGACACAAGCGAAGAAAGCAAGCGACATTTCCATACCTCCGGGAGAAAGATCAGCCTGTGACGGGATATCAAACCGTCCTGAAGCAGGACCCGAGTCTGAATAGGTGTCGGCCAAACTGGCCCAGCGCGAAACCCAGCGCGAGCCTCCAGGGGGCAGTGTCGTCATCGACTGCATCTGCAGAGGAGGAACCAGCTGATTGGACAAAACACTCCTATCGCATCACATTGTTTTAAAGTGGAATTAAAAGTTGAGATATTTTCACTGCATCTGTAAAATAGGTTTATCTTGCACATTTCACATGTGACTTAAATATAAAATAACTCTTGTAGAAATGTGCTGAACTGCTTAGATATGTGCTGATGTATCTTAGTAGATATGTGCTGAACTGCTTAGAGCAAATGTTGTAATTAAATATTGTGAAAATGTTTCTTAAAACCCTTAAATTAGTAAATAATTATTTCTTATTTTTCTTTGATTTATACATTATTTAAAGAAAGAATATATTTTAGATTTTTTTCTGTCCATTTCTTCCCTTTCTCTTTTCTTTTTTTATTTAGTGGCAATTTAAAGTGTTTTACATAAAATGTGCTATATAAAAATAATAAACTATAAAAAAAACATATACTTTTATGTGACATTTAACTTACATTAAATAATCCTTCTAGATCTGTCCCAAATTAAGAATAGACTTTGTAAATATTTAAAATTAATATTGTGCAAATAGTTAAAACTAACTTGCACTCGTTTAAAAAAATAACAGCTGTGCTAAAAAAATAAATAAATATTGTATTACTTTACGCACACACAAAAAAGATACTATAAATGAAGAATATAAATAATTCAACTTATTCAAGTTTCTTTAATTTAAATAAAACCTACAACAATTATGCTGGCATACTATATATATATCGATTCTGGTACTAATTCAAAGAAAATGTCAAAATATACCAAATGAAAATATCTCAACCATATAAAGAGATCAGGCCCTTTAAAGATCCAAATCACCCATTCATAATCATAATCATCCAAAAGCAGGAAAAAACCCATCAAGACAGCTTTGAGAAGATGCCCAAGAAAGATCCTAATGTGATTGCAGTGATTGACCGATAGATCTACTGACGCCCATGATCCGGCGTGAGCATGCTAACGTTTGTAGTCAGGTGAGAGTTTACCTGTACTGGACCCTTGTCTGTGTCACTACGGTCTTTTGGATACTGGCCCAGTTTTAGGCCTGAGCTATTCTCACTGAGGAGAAGACTATCGTGACCCTCAGTGTCACCAACTATAGGCTTAAATGTTGTTGCTGCTGCGGATTGGCTGTTGTTACCAACACCAAACACCTGTTAATGATAAAGCACGCATGAATTATGAAGGATTGTAGATGTCTGTTCCCAACTGACCGGACCTCTTCAACTCTTGACTTGGTGAATTAAAGAACTAGTTTTGTGTCGTATTTGATGTTAACTTCAAATCCTACTAATAGTAATTTAAAGAAGTGGTAGCATTGGATCTGGACGGGAAGGTTCGTGGATTTATGTTTCCCATTGCCTATCGTTACAGCCCTACTAATGATAGACACTTGGTCACCATGATATACACTACCAGTCAAAAGTTTAAGATCAGTAAGATTTTTTATGTTTTTAAATGAAGACAAACGGTAATATTGTGAAATATTATTATGACAATTTAAAATGACTGTTTTCTATTGTAAAATGTAATTTGAAAGCTAAATTTTCAACATCATTACTGTTGCTGATTTCAGTGTCACATGATCCTTCAGAAATCATTCTAATATGCTGATTTTATGCTCAAAAAACATTAATTATTATTTTCAATGTTGAAAACAGTCGTGTAGCATTTCCCCCCCAAAATTCCATGATGAATAGAAAGTTCAAAAGAACAGCGTTTATTTAAAATATAATCTTTTCTAACATTATAAATGTCATTACTGTAACCTTTGATCAATTTAACTCATCCTTGATGAATAAAAGTATTTTCTAATTTCTTTCTCCCAAAAATAAAAAATAAATTCTTATACAAACCCCGATCTTTTGAATGGTAGTGATTGATGTCACAAAAGCTTTCATTTCAGATCAATTCTGTTGTTTTGAACTTTCTATTCATCAAAGAATCCTGAAATAAAAATGTAAAAAACTGTTTTCAACATGGATAATAATCATAAATGTTTCTTGAGCATCATATTATAATAATTTCTGTAGGATCATGTGACACTGAAGACTGGAGTAATGATGCTGTAAATCCAGCTTTGATCACAGGAATAAATTACACTTCACTATATATTCACATAGTTTTAAATTGTAATAATATTTCACAATATTACTGTATTTTTTTATCAAATAACTGCAGCCTTGGTGAGCAGAAGAGACTTCTTTTAAAAACATAAAAAATCTTACCCATCTAAAAATTCGTCATACCGCCCAGCCCTGCTCAAATGTGATGTGAAGCTGAAGTGACGGGGTTGTACCTGATCGATCAAACTCCGTGCCTCCACAACCTCTTTATCTGGTCCCTCAGCTTCAATAGTGTAAGTCCCTGCATCACTCAGACTATCTTCTTCTTCATGCGGAGACGTTTTGGCCTCCGTGTAGTTGACTTCCGTGTGGTTACTGGTGGGATATTGTGGATGAGACGTGGCAGGAAAACTCTGAGTAGTTGTAGAAGAAGAGGTTTTATGGTCCAACATGGAGGCAGGGTCGGGTTTCGACACCCTGAGCAACTCGGCTGCGAAGTCCTGCGATAGTTTGGATCTCCGGCCGATGCTGCCGAAGGGTTTTGACGTGGAGCGAGAGCTAAAGTCAGACGTGCTCATGCGTATCTCGCTTTTCTCCCGTCTGAGAGATTCGGCCCGCTTCGTATCATCAGAGCCTTTAAGGGGAATCGTAAACTGCTGTGTGGGAGGGTTATATGCCGATGATGCGGGTGTTCGCTCTCCAGCCTGGCCTGCAACCTTTCGTTTGTCCAGCTTGCTTTTTAAAGCAGACTGGAAGTCAGGAGAAGACACGTTATTGGTGAACGACTGCGAGCGTTTTTTCCGTTGACCGTCGTCAAAGAACTCGACCATAAAAGCTTGCTGGGCATCCGGTTTGCCTTGGCCCTTTGGATCTGGGACGTATTTAGTTGGGTGATCTTTTCCTTCCAGTTGTGGGACGATCTTTTGAACCATTTGCGGTTCTTCTGGTTCTTCCAAATCACCATCTTCATGACGGCGTGCATCTAGAAACAACACAAGTAAAAGGTCAACATTTTCATAAAAACGAAACAAATCAAAGATGAACGAACAAAAAATGAACGAATCTTTTTCCGAGTCAATTCGTTCGTTGAATGAACCAAATGACTCGGGAAAAAGATTCGTTCATTTTGACTTGTTCAAATGACTTGTTTTGCTTGGCAACTTATTTGTGTCTGTGTATTTTGCTGTAATTTTTTTCTTTTATACATGTTTATATGTATTGCTTTAATGTTTATAAAAAAAATAAAAAATAATAAATAAAAAAAAGACTTGTTTTGCTTGGTTTCTTAGTGTTGCTTGTAATTTGTTTAATCCTGCTATCCGACCCTGTCTTGACTAGGTCTAACTTGTAAAAGAGGTTAACCTCAATGTGACTTTCCTAGTAAAATAAAGGTTAAAAAAATAATTTTGACGAACGAGTTCTAACAGGAGACACACGAACGTGCATCACAGAACAGAGCAAGGCGACCATTTGAGCTTATAAAACTTAAACTTGGTTATTTATTTATTAAATGAGTGATCGTTTCGCTTGATAAGATCGTTTAAAGCTGCACCGTGTGATTTTTACCTCCATCTAGTGGTGAAAAGGTATATGACCATCCAGTGAATATTAGTTTCTGTTCCTCTCAATTCTGATTTCATTTTAACGTCTACGGTGGCCAATGTAGTCCAAGATTAACATGGCTTCCAGTTTGACCTGGTCCATGAGTGTTAACTCAAACGTAAACGCCAAAGGCGAAGCTTGAATTAACGGGTATGTCCCTCTTTGGCTAAAGTACTTTCAAGATGGAGGGGCAACATGGCGACCCCTTACCCGTATGCATTTTCAATGGCATATTATACACTCACGAGGATACTTTATTACTTGAACGAAGTAAATATACATTAATGAGCACATATATTTTTGAAAGAACTAAGTGTGTTTAGCTAAGAATAAACTAAAATAGCTTTAAAGCCCTTTGAACAGTTTGTAGTTTGCACTGAAAGTGTCTTTTGGACCTTGAACCGTTTGGACCCCATTGAAGTCCATTATATGGAAAATCCTGGAATGTTTTCATCAAAAATCTTAATTTCTTTTCGACTGAAGAAAGAATGACATGGACATCTTGGATGACATGGGGGCGAGTAAATTATCAGACTACTTCGTTAAACCTGGTAAATTAATCCATTCCCAGACAAAACTGGGAATTTAAACGAGCTAGATTGAAACGTCAAGTTCTCTTGCGAGTCAAGTGCCCCAAAAATGTTCTAGGTCTTTAAGGGTTAATCTTTCCACCGTACAGAAACGATTCAGGAGTGGTTTACCCTTGTTCGAGTGCTCGTCGAGACTCCTCAACATAGTGGCGTCGCTTTGCACCAACCAATCAGCAACTTTGTTCTCCGCCGACATCACTTCCGTAAGTCTGGCTATCGATTCTTTGGTGGGAATCCTGCGCTGGCGGACCGAGAGCTTCGTGACTTGGTCCTTGATCTTGATCTTTCCAGGGGTTTGGTCATCAAACTCGATGGTGAAGGAGGCATGGCCCTGGACCACGGGGGGAGTGGAAGGGGGTTTGTGGTCCGTGTCTTTTGTGGGGATCTCTTGGACTTCCAGGGATGAAGTGTTGGGCTTTGGATGGATCTCCTTCGTGGGAATCTCAAAGTAGCTCGGCTCCTTGCGGAAAGCGTAACCGGACTTTCCCTGGCCATCGAGAAACTCATCATTGACCTCACATCCGGGACCATCCTTGAGGTTTTCTGTGGAAAGACATCAGCATTAATGCTATATGTTCATTTTTAATGTTATCGTTATCTGGCTGAAAAGAAGATTTGGCAGATTTATTCAAACTGATAAACAATAATGGAGTATTTCCTTCAGCTGAGACTCTTCAGATGAGCACTGTTCAACTTGATGGCTTTGAATTGCTTGAAATTTGATTGAAATCACTTCAAAAAAGCAAAATACAGTTCAGCGTCTGTCGTATCGGCTACTTAACATTATAATGAGAACGTTATTGTGTGTTTGGGACTGGGTTTCAATGGTGAGACTTTTGTTTTTTGAGAGGCTGATTGCAAAAAACAAATTAAAATTAGATTTATCGGCCAATATATCGGTTATTGGCTTCCAAATATAAATAATTATCGTTATTGGCTAGATTTTTCATATTGGTGCTTTCCTAGTCAATGATTGTTAATATAACTTAACAGTGATGGGAGAAACGGACTATTTTGAGTCACAAATATGTCTTTAACCCTCTGGGGTTCTTCGGGTCAATAATGACCCTAAGCGTTTAAATAAAAAAAATGTTAAAAATCGTAGCTTCATCGGAATGGTCCGAAACTTGGTGACGTTAATGGTACTTGGTATATGAACAAAAAAATTGGGGACAGGATTTGAAAAGTCTAAGTGGTCGTAAAAAAAAATTAGTCACACTCAGGACCTTCGGGTCAAAAATGACCCGCATAGGAAATGAATGGGAAATTGGCAAAAATATGAAAATACTGAGTTTTTTTGTGCGTACAATCTACAAATCAGCCACGATCTTGAAAAAAGCACACAACAGTGAAGGGGTGAATCTATAAAACATCAAGAGTGCATAACAGACACATCCACACACACACAAACACACCTTTATACACGAACACACCAAAAAAATTCAGATTATACATGCGTTTTGCATTTTTAAAAAGCTCAGTTTGTCCATGACATGGCATCCATCTAATTTCAAAAATTGCTTTTATGAGGCCTAGGCTTGACTCAAAAATGAAATACAGCTTTAAAAAAAATATTTTTTTTTAAATATTTTTTTTCTATTATATTCAATGGGGGGAAATTTGGTCATAATTATTGCATTAATACTAATTATAATTTTTATTATTTTTGAAATTATCTCAAAACACCAAAAAAGAAAAGATATTATAAAAAACAAGTAAAAAAAAAAAAAATATGATTTTCTTTTTTGTATGAATATGAATTTTGACCCGAAGGCCCCGAGTGTGACTGTTAAACGAAGAACCCCAGAGGGTTAATAAATGTTTGCATTATAAAGAGTTTAAAACCACCGGTTCATGGGTTAACTGAGATCCTAGCAGCTAACCATTGAAATTATGAAATTTTTTGAAACGGTTATAGGCCTCATTTACTGAAATCATGAGATTTTGTCAGTTTGATACGCACTCCAGACTCCACTGGTTTATAACGAAAGACTTGAAGCTTTACAGAAGCATTAACTTCCAAAGCATCCATCACTACAAACAGATTAGGATGTGTGCCAAACTCGTGCGTGTGACATACAGAAGAGCTAATTCACTTACATTACTTAAGTCACTCCTGCTGTGAGGACACCCGAGTAAAGTCAGGTATTTTAGGTCTCTCACACACTGTCCTAACCCGGTGTAACATGTGCAAACTTCAATTTCTATCCAAACTAAAACCAAATTGCAGCATGAAGCAACAATATAATCTATGTTTAATATACAGCTCTGAGTTAATGGATTTTAAACCAAATTTCACTTTAAAACAGGACTATATTCAAATAAATGTATAAAACTTATTTATGTAAAAATAAATTTAAAAATGCATGTCATTATTTTTGAAATATCTATATTTAAATACATTTTTTTTGGTAAAATATGAAAAAATAAATGAATGACATAAATAAGTGGGTTATTCATCATAATAAATCTCAGTTATAAACCATGCAATAAATCTCAAATCTGACTGTGTTGCAGCTGGTTAGGATAAAACTCAGATTAACATGGATTTAATGATCACATCGTGGCTGGTTAGGACAAATGTATGAGAAATTAAACTGTACATCACTGTCTGAAGTGTGTATAACAATATTAAATATATGAAATGTGCTGTCCGCTAATGCTAAACCAAAGATTACTCCTAAAAACACTAAAACACAAGCCAACTGCAATGGAACAAATGTTTCTATGGTCACCCTTTAATCTCTGAGGAAAACTTTGTGAAGTGCTTAAGACTGGAGGGAAACACAATGCCCTTCTCAGTGGACTAAGACTGGCTGCTAATCCATCACGAGCTTGAGCCGGCTCGCCTGACGGGTTTTAAAGCTCATGCCAGTGTAGAGTTTAGCAATGAATTCCTCAGGCTCGAGATCAGCCAACACAAAAGGATTGTATCTGTTCTCACTTCACACTGCGGCTGCATTCCTGTCCACACTTCACACACACTCTATCTTGTGTGAGGATTTCACTGGATTGTTTTGCATTGAATAATTTGGCGATAGTGAAACTGACGTCTAGGAACCGCTATGATGTAAAGTCTCTGTGTGATTGGGTGTGAGGATCAAGAGTCTCAGTTTCAGACCTGCGTGATGTTCATGAGGTCCCTTTTCTTCATCATCTTCACCCTTTGCTTCATCATCCTCACCCCACCAGGACGGCTGGCCGTAGAGCGGCGTGGGTCTCGACACGGGCGGGTCTGTGATCACACCAGGGAACAGGAAGAGTTTGATGAAACCACAGACAAATACAGTCGAACTGCTTACGTTATTGGTTTTAAAAATAAATACATTAAAAAAAAAACTATAAAAATATTATGATGAATATAAAATAAAAAAATCTATTTAATTCCAAACAAATAAATACACAGCTGACATTACCTAATTCAGCTTTAAGTAAAAGTACAAGAAAAAATAAATTTAATACTAAATAAATTGGTGACATGACATTTTTGAAAGAAAAAATTTTTTTTAATAAATGTGTCAAATTATAAAATGTAGATAAAAAAAGAATAAATTAATAAAAAAAAATCATAGAAATAAAAAATACTTACTTTTGAAATAAAAAGACAATTTAAATGTTTATTAAATGTATTAATTTAGATTACAAAAATGTAAAGAATTTAAACACAAAACTACATAAATTAAATTAAATTAAATAAATTGGTGACATGACATTTTGGAAATATACAGAAAGAAGATTTATTACTAATGATTAAAAGAATAAATTTAAAAATTATATGCAAATAGGTGACATCACTTATTTTAGAAAAATAATTAAAAATCTATATAGAAATATTTATAAAATATATACATTTAGATTAAAAAAAAAAAAGAAAAGAAAAACCTAAAACATTAACGGAAAAAAAAGAAAGAATGAATCTCCTTTCACTGTTGAAGAAGAACCAAACTTGTTTTTAAAACTCTATTCATGTCAGTGCCGGCAACACAACAGCTTATTTTCAGGCCAAATGAAAAGGTTGGGAAACGTTCATGTACACATTCTGCATGTGTGGCCTGAGGCATTCAGTGCAGCAACAGTAATTTAGCCAATAACACATTCTGGACTCCACCCGACAACAGTCATCAAAGCCGTCTCAACCGTCAGCTGCTGCGCTGCTCTGAGATAACCAGTCACGCTGCTTACAGTCGGATCATGGACACTGGTGACGTTCAAGAGCTTCGCCCTGACGGCAAAGGCAAAGACGGAACAGCAGGAAACAGGGAGCAGCCGAAAACGCAGGACTAGCTTAGTTTGGAAAGTTGTGGTGACGCGCCACAAATGTTGACCCACTTTAGTGTGTCTCTTGCCGTCGGACAACAGATGAGTGTATATTATATATAAAATTCAACCCGCCAAAGTGGCTAGTAGAAGTGTGTTACAATCTACTGTTGAAATACACAATAGAATGCGTATTTTGAAGAAAATATCTTTAAAAATTGGAGGGTGTTAATGTTACCAAACAGTTTTTGGTCCCCATTGACTTCCATGGTATTTTTTTCTAAACTATGGAAGTCAATGGGGACCAAAATATATATTTTTTTTTTTTCAGTGTTTCCTTCTTAATATCTTTTTGGGCAACAGAAGGAAGAACTTCATGCAGGTTTAACAACTTTTTTATTTATTTATTTTTCTATCATTTTTGGGTGAACTATCCCTTTAAGAAGGATCAACCCAAAGCTGAGCTAAGAGCTGCTTATTGGGAACAGAACTAGGAAAAAAGTGATTAAACATGATTCAATCCCATGAGTCAGTTGGGCAGGACCAGGTCAGAAAGCACAGGAAGCTCAGGACAGAAACTTTCTCACGAAGTCGTTCATCTAAACACCCATGCGAATTAATGCATTATAAAATGTATTTTTATAAGAACATACACAGTTTAATTCTTCATTTAGCTGCATTTATCTACTAAACTTTTTTCGTTAGCTGAACCACTTTGACCTAAAATATTTACTTGACATTTGTTAGGATAGGACAATATTTGCAACAATTGAAAATCTGGAATCTGTAGTGCATTTATGTTCGCGCTGTACTGCATCCACAAAAATAAAACATTTTATACATTTACGGTAGGAAATTTGCTAAATATCTTCATGGGACATGATCTTTACTTAATATCCTAAAGATTTTTGGCATAAAAGAAAAGTCGATATTTGACCCATACAAATGTATTGTTGGCTATTGGCTCAAATAAACCCGTGCGACTTATGACTGGTTTTGTGATCAAAGGTCACATATATATATATATATATATATATACACACATATATATATACATACAGTATTTTTTAAGTCTTAAAAAGACGTGGTACACCTTCGACTGAAATTATCTATAAATTATCTACATAAAAATTTAAATAGATTTGAGCAGTTTACTATGAAATCAATACAGTGCAGAAATAAGTCAGGAAGGTCAGCATGGTGTGGAAATACTAGCAAAAATGTACCTTTTTCTAAAAGAAATGGGGGATAAATTCACAAAGCAAATCAAGTCAACATGAAACAACGTTCAATGGCCACATTTCCAAATAAAACAGGACATTCTAGAAGTAGGAATTGATTTTATCAATCAGAAATGATTGAGTTGTGAGAAGTGTCTTTATATAGATCATTTGAGAGGAAGAGAAAGCGATTACATTGAAGAGTGTGAAATAAGTAATGTCACTGATGAATCATTCACAGTAAGACCAGAAACATGAATTTGAAAAGTGAAGCGAGCTCCTCGTGTGTTTCAGAAGTACCTGTGATGTTTTTCCGCTCGGCTTTCTCTGATTTAAGGCGTAATGAGTCTCTCTGTTTCTCTTCTGTCCTGATGTGCTTCTTGGTTTCTGGCGTCTCTTGGCCAAACTGAAGCTGGCTGGTGTATTTTTCATGCTGGAATACAGAGAATATATAAATTACATGAGCATCTCTCAACAACACACACTGCGAAATACACAGCATTTCTTTTAGTTCATTTTAATTTATAAATACAAGCTATCGATTTTAATAAACATTTTAATAAATCGGCGTAATCACTTAATTAATTAGATTAAACATTTGAATCATTTGACAGCTATAATTATATTCAAAAGTTGTATCTGTAGGGCAATATGAAATCAAGTTTTATTTTTTCAAAATAAATTTTTTCCCGGACTGCATTTTTATTTATTTATTATATATAATTTAGTTATGGTTAAATTCGATTTTTTAGTAATCAAAAAGCATGTCTAATTATTATTATTCAATAAAAAAATATTTTTAAAATATTTTTTAGTCCATGTTTACTAGGGATGTCCCGATCCGATCCACGGCATCGGTATCGCGCCGATACCGGCCCAGAACGCTAGATCGGAGATCGGAGGGGAGAAAAAAATATGAGCGATATCCAGTTTAGCGGCGCAGCCTGTCACGTGATGATTGTTGTGTTTACGCACACGCGCGCAGAGAATCACTCTCGCTTTGCGTGTCAAGAGCGAAACTGGCGCGCGTAAAGTTTGAAGCGAAATCAAAATCAAAATCCGTTGGCGGTCATTGTTTTTATGTCGACCGAGCATTCATCAAGAGAGTTACCGCTCTGTATTTACTCTGGATAGCAGAACAGCGGCGTGGGGATCATCGTCGCCGTATATTTGTGTCCACCGGACCCTTCGGAGCCGAACCGTTTGGCGAGTTTCACCATTTGCTCGCTCCAGGAGCTGCGCTGGATGACGGCCGCTGTCAGCGGTACTTCCGCCTGTCACGCGCCCAGTTTGATGACCTGTTGTCCCGCATCTGAGCGAGGATCACCCTCGCCCGGCCCCTCATCCATCTAATCTAGCTGTCATTTATTTTTGTTTTGATAATAAATAGAGCCAGCCTTCAAAAGTTATTAACCTGTCCTGTGATTTTTTTTCTTTCTCTCACGTCCAGACACGAATTTATGCACATATGTTGATTGTCTTTACAACATAATACTATTTCTAGATATGGAATGAATAACATTCAATACAAAATGAACATGTCTCCATATAGAAATAATGTTTTAAGTGATGAAACATTTGCTTTGTTGTGCATAATCCCACCATGCATTTAGTCATATTAACAAAATAATTTATTGAAGCATCCAGACACTTCACCACGTGAGCAAGCAGCTAGGCTCCTGATTGGTTAACGCGGCGCGAATTCACGCCAAAGTTCAGCCAACTTGACGCGCGAATGAGGCGTATTCGCGTCTTCCGCGCCGCGCTCCACGCCTCATTCGCGCCGCAGGAATTTTTCTTGCATTGACTTAACATTGAAATCATTCGCGCCTGACGCCCTATTCGCGTCCGGTGTGAACGTAGCATTAGTGCGTCGAAGTTGTGATAGCGCTGTCGGCTAACGCGAAATGCTACTATTTACATTCCATGGATGTTTATTCATATATACAATTGTTTTGGACTAAAAACTTCTTCAAATTGGATTGTATGGACGCTTTACAGTGAAACCAAACCATTTTTGTTGGAATGTGGACTAACAGATGTCTAATTGGTGAGTTTCTTCCAGTTTGTGTTGGTTTGTTTTGGCTGTTGGTGGTCTGACAAAGAGACAGATTGTGCCCGCTGTGTTGATTGTATCTTAAAATGGTTTACGTCGTTCGAATCACGAGTTTCTCAGCTTTCCAAAGATATGTATTATGTTTACTTTTGTGTTTGTTTTGTTTTGTCTTTCACAAAGTTAAACCTATAAACCACCCTGTGGGCCGTATACGGCACGTCGGACCACGAAAAAAAAAATATCGGACTAATATCGGTATCGGCAAAAGCCAAAGGTGCGGCATCGGTATCGGTATCGGAAGTGAAAAAGTGGTATCGGGACATCCCTAATGTTTACCAAATTCTGTGTTTTCTGGATTCCATTTTAAAGGTTTAATAAAATGTTTAATTAAAAATAATATCTAATTAATTAAATACATTTAAAAATCATTTCTATGAAAAGTTTTTTTCCCCCATAAATTCTGTGTTGTGTATTTTCTGGTGATTAAATGAAGGCATTAAAGCATTCATGTGTATTTTAATAATTAATTAAAATTAATTAACTGTTAATTTTATTGAATGAACCTGAGGTAACATTAACTAATAATAAACAGTTGTATTTTTATTACATAGCGCTACCAAAGATTAATAAAAAATAAAAAAAGGCTGTTAAAATCGATTCCCTATTTTCGTTTTCGAAACTTGTTTGGTTGGTCCGATCGATTGTGCAATCGATATTCGAACGTAAAGTGAGCCCTAATGTCTATATCGCTTTATTTTCTATAAATGTGCAGGAATGGAGAGAGATTAACTCAAATCTACCTTGAGGGCTTCCTCGGGCACTTTGTGTTGGCTTCTCTCCAGGATGTATATGTGTGAATGTGTGGACAGTCAAGAAACAAACAAGCCATCCCATAATGATCAGAGAGAAAGGACACAACAGCGGGACAAAACTCTTGCGGCATCACTTCTATCGAGCTGAGCTGAGCACTGTCCTGAACAAACCCGTCCCAAACACAAGAAAGCTGCTTTCTGCTCATTACACGAGGCATTTCTGCAAGGTTATTCTTTCTCATCGCATACAAAATCAAAAGCCCTGAGTCAAACCACAACGGACTTGAGTGCCCGTTTTATTCCGGAAGGATATCATATCCGAAGCGGATGACATCGGATAACTTCAGGGTGATGTACGTCTGGTCAGGGATGCGAAGGTCATTCACGAACGTCTGGCGAGACAAAAACACACTGATGTCAACACACATTCTTCAAATGCACATTTTTATAAAACTCAATAGTGATTGAAAGTCTTTTAGCATGTTTATTTTTTAAATTTAATTTAAATTAAATTAATTTTCAAATTAGGCCCATCGCGATCATGAATTTTTGTGCTGACGATTAATTGTCATACAAATAATATTGATTTAATTCTGTTCGGTTTTTGTCACTTACAGTGAAAGCCTCATACATTTTTTTAACATTAAATTGTATATAACAATAAAAATTATAATACAATAGACCCACATGATTTACTTTAATGCTGTGAAAATTGTATATATATATATATATATATATATATATATAAAATATAAACTATATAAACTAAAAAAAATCTATAATTGAATAAAATATAATATAGCTATATACACAATACATATAATATAGTATATATGTAGTGTGATTAGATGATATTATATTATGAAATTAAGGTTTGTAGGTTTAATCAAACATAAAACAATTAATAAAGCAATTTTCAGACTGCATCTAAATAATATAATATAATAAAATATCCTATATTACAGCTATAAACACAACACATTAATATAATATAATATAATGTAATATAATACATGCAGTGTGATTAAACTTTCATACGAATAAAGTCCATTGACTATCTTTACAAAAGTGCTTTACAAAAGTTTTGTATATGCTTTGGCAAAATGTGCAATTATTGAAGAAATCTTAATTAAATCTGATTAGTTAAAAAAAACAAAAAAAAAACACCCGATTAAACGATTAATCAATAACCGCAACACAGACCCATATAAAATTGTAGTTTATAAATCACACAATTTGACGAAACTGCATTAAAAATCTTAACCAACAACAAGCAGCTCTATTTAAAATCCATATCTGTGTTAGTTATTAATATTAGTGCGCTCACCCCGTTGAGGCTGCCCAGGTCTTTGACCAGGTGCTCGTCTGTGGACACGTCGTAGTTGAGCACCGCGTGCTGTTTGTCCACACTGCGAGACTGTCCGGGGCAAAGAACAGAAAGCAGATTAACAACATGAGCTTATCATGAAGTAAACATTCACGCAAATCCAATGAAGACCAGATGAACAAAAGGCCTAATATAAAGGAGAACAGAGCCGCGGCCGCACAATCAGTCTCAGGAACATCAGATAGACATTCAGATGTGGCCACAGGAAGCACAATTACCCAGCATTATCAGAGTCAGTGTTCAGACATCAGAGCCGATCTGCCCACACTCGTTTACTGCCTCATTAGTGAGATGATGTCATCGTGCAGAGACTTCATTATACAGTGTGTTGCTCTGCTCAAAACGTTACGCTTGTTGAATCCAACCGAGGCCGAAGATTTATCTGTGATGTGTGGGACTTTTCGGTCATTTTTTTACATGCATAATAAAACATACATGCATCATAAATATATTTTAATACAATATGAATTTTGAATATGATTTAAAGTAAAAAAAAAAATGTATATACAGTACATTTTCTTACTTTAATGCTGTGAAAATGATTGTGTATATAATATAAAGTAAACTATATAAATATCATTTAATTTAATAAAATATAATACGGCTAATATACAATACAAAACAAATAACATAATATATGCAGCTTGATTAAACCCCCCCCCCCAAACACTTAATTTCTTAAGAATATTTAACATAATAATATATGCAGTTTGATCAAACCCACAAACCTTATTTTCTTAAGGATATATATAATATAATAATAATAAAACGCAGTCTAAAAAAAAATTGTATAAACTCTAAAATCATATAATTTAATAAAATGCATAATAAACATGAGTGCATCATATGAATGAAAGTACACTGAAGCTGCAAAGCATTTTAAGTGTTCAATAATGATTCAAAAGTGCATCTCGGAAGAGTTGAACGAGCGCCAGAGTTCGCGGCTGGCGAGGAATGTGCGAGAGAGAGAGAGAGAGAGAGAGAGAGAGAGAGAGAGAGAGAGAGAGATGCATGAATAGACAGAAGGAGGCTGTTGACTCTGCGGTGAGAGGGCCGAGCTGAACTGACCACAGATCAACACAACCGTATAAACAGAGTAAAAACACTGCGTTCTAGCGTCAGCAGAACAAGAGACGGAGGAAACAGAGAGGCACGTTTGTTTGAGTAGAGTTTAAAGGATTAGTTCACTTTTGAAAAAACTTTTGCTGATAATTTACTCGCCCCCATGTCATCCAAGATGTCCATGTCTTTCTTTCCTCAGTCGAAAAGAAATTAAGGTTTTTGATGAAAACATTCCAGGATTTTCTCCATATAATGGACTTCAATGGGGTCCAAACGGTTCAAGGTCTAAACGACAGTTTCAGATGCAGCTTCAAATGTCTTTAAACGACACCAGACGATGAATAAGGGTCTTATCCAGTCATTTCAAAACTTATTCCAAAAATGTAACTTTTCTAAGGACAAATGCTAGCCTTTCTCCATTCTGTGAAGCGCGTTTGTAACGTCACGTAATACGTAATTACGTTCAAAAGGTCACGAGCGACGCAGCCGGAAGTACAGAATCAAAATCGCCCGACATCGTTGTTTTACCTTTTATTCCTTTTTTTGTAAACGGCGTTTGAGTTAGTTTGCACGTTCAACCTATGCGTTCAACTTGTAAACACTGACTCTGTACTTCCGGCTACGTCGCCCGTGACCTTTTGAACGTAATTACGTATTACGAGACGTTACAAACGCGCCTCACAGAATAGAGCAAGGCTAGCATTTGTCCTTAGAAATGTTACATTTTTGGAATAAGCTTTGAAATAACCGATCGTTTCACATGATTAGACCCTTATTCATCGTCTGGTGTCGTTTAAAGACATTTGAAGCTGCATCTGAAACTGTTATTAACTGTCGTTTGGACCCCATTGAAGTCCATTATATGGAGAAAATCCTGGAATGTTTTCATCAAAAACCTTAATTTATTTTCGACTGAAGAAAGAAAGACATGGACATCTTGGATGACACGGGGGCGAGTAAATTATCAGCAAAAGTTTTTTCAAAAGTGAACTACTCCTTTAAACAAAAAAAAGGTTAAACCACTGTAGTCACATGGATTATTAATGGGGTCTTCACTACCTTTCTGAGGCTTGAAAGTGGTAGTTGCCTAGGCCGTCAATGGAGGGACAAAAAAGCTCTCATATTTCATCTTTAATTTTTAGATAAACTAAAGTTTTACAGGTTTGGAACGGCTTGAGTGTAAGTGATTAATGTCAGAATTGTAATCTTTGGATGAACTTTCCCCTTTAAAGCCGCGGATCAGACAGATGTGTTTGGTGTCCTGACCTGGAGCATCAGTTCACAGTCCTCTCGGCCCACAAAGATCATCTCGCGGGGCAAGCGGTGGCGTGTGCCGGAGCTGCTCACCAGGAACCACGACGTCACACTCATCTTCACAACTCCATCAACTTCCTATGGGAGAAACGAGAGAAAAAAAACATCCATCATTGAGCTTCAACTACTGAACCACATGACAAAACAACTGTGACCAGGACTGCTAAAACTGTTATCATCTAAAACCATTTGAAGCATTTTTATATGCTAATGTATACTATATTAGACATGCTTTGCTAACACTTTACAATAAGCTTCATTGGTTAATGTATTAACTAACCTTGAGCAAGCCATTTCTTACTGTATTTGTAAATCTTTGTTCATAAATAATAAAGCTGTTCATTGTTAGTTCACAGTGCATTAACCTTATCAAGAGTTCAATAAAGTATTAGTAAATGTTGAAAAATGACGTTAAAGATTAATAAATCCTGTATACAGGCAACATTATTGGTTCACGTTAACTAATGTAAATTAACTAACCTTGTTGTAAAGTGTTACCCATGCTTTTTTAATGATCTAATGTTTGTAGTTAGATCACATAAAAAAGGTTTACTTTTATAGGTTCATTTATCAATATTTTCATTGAGGACATTTTATCCATTAGAAAATGATTGTATGGTGAATTATTATATTAAATATTGCGGTGGATGAGGTGTTTCTTTCTAGGTCAATTATTAAATATGAGCAAATATAACCATGTGAACAAACTTAAATCATGCTGGATAATAAATCAAATCAAACTATAGGCTAATTAATGTGTCAAAGTGAAAATATTCTGGTTTGTGTCATTGATATCACGGTAAACTTGTTATATTATTCAGATAAGCATGTTATTTTTGCTTCTGCTGTGTTTAAAATTGCATTGATCGGGACAAAGTTCAAGTCCAGACCTTTAAAAGAATCTCTGACAGAATATCTATGTAAAATAAGAGATTAAATCAGAAACAGCTCAAAATCTGTAAGGTGTAATTTATAATACAGCTAACAGTTCAAACAAACCTGTCAATCAACATTCAGTAATATTAAACCCAAGAGTCCAAGCGTTAATCCAAACCTCACAGTCGATTTTCCTCGTTCATGAGCCACAACTACAACATGACAACACAAATAAAGCAATTTAAACAGATAAACACAGAGAAAAGAGAGTAAAACGAGTCAGAACTGTTCAGGTAAAACACTCACACACCTTCTTTAGTGAAGCTCCGCGCGGCTAAAGCTCAACAGGAAGTTTAATCCTGACATTCCCGAACATCCGAGCGCTTAAACACACACTTTACGACATATAAATACGAGTTTAATACGTCTCCATCACTGAGAGAGGAAAGAGAACTGATGTAGCTGGGATTTGAGGCTGTTATTCCCGATGGATCGAGAGACTTTTATCAGGGAGAGTCTGTCAGAGAGAGTGTGTCGGTTTGTGTCGTGACGTCACCGCGGCCGCAGCGCCTCCACCTGAAACTCCAGCCAGAAAAACTAGATCCACCTTTAATAATCTCTCTGGATTACAATATAAAAGCCCGTGTGCGCGATCATTGTTGTCCAAATGCATTTGTTGCATAGTTACATACAGATATTAATGTGGTATTCTATAGCACAAATAGGGTGTGGACACTAAAGGCACACTCAAAATGTGTAAATGTTTTGCATTTATAAGAAAATAAGTGGAAGCAAGAGAAGACAATTAGTCATATGACATAAAAAGTGATAATTGATTATGACTTTCTATAGGCTATAATTGTGACTTCGACTTTGTATCTCATAAATGTCATTGTATGTCATCATTTCGACTTTTTATGTCATAATTATAATTTACAAAATGTTTTTTTCCTTATGTTGTATTTTATTTTTATTTTTTTTATTGTGGCCTTCCATGAGGTTGCGTTGAGTTTGCTCTCCGCTAGATAGCGCTGTTCTCCACAGGAAGATCATCTGATCAAATCAAGATGAATGGTCTCTGATGATCTTATCTCTTGTCAGGTGTTCTCCAAACTCATCAGGCATTATAGGAGAAGACTGGCAAAAGGAGGTGGCAAAAAGTTTTTAAAACAGGCTATCAATAATTATGGCCAGTGTGTTTTGGAGAAAAAAACATTTATTTTATAATGTGATAGGCCTACCCCCCACTTTCAATTCTTTTACTTCAATGAAAAGTTAGATTTTTGTGATTTTTTTAATGAAAAATCAAAAGGATAAACAATGCAGATTTTTTTTTTTACAGACATTTTTTATCATATTTATTAGGGGTGCCATCCATTTTGGCCACCACTGTATATATATGCCCCATTTCTACAAAAATAGTAATGTTTCCAAACTTTTGACTGTATATATATATATATATATGCCCCTTTTCACCTACCCAGCTCCACCCCCTGATCCCTAAACCCACCCACAAACCTCCCCAACTCCACCCCTCAGATCTGGATCCGACTCCGCCCCCCTGGATCTCGTGTACTGCAATGAGGTGCGACTGGCTGCCCTTGAGGAACTCTCTGGTCCTGCTGTTCTGAAACGTTTTTGCTACTTGTTTCAGAATTTAAAAGTAACATTCGCATAATGTTTGCAAAATGATCAAATGAAATGTAATTTTAGCCAAGATAAAAACAAAACTGTCAGTTGTGCTCTAATAAAAGTTCAACATCAAAGGTCAAACACTCCAGAAATGAGGTCAAACTATCATAATCATCACTAAAGCATTACAGTTATTAAAGTCATAAAGTAATAAAACCTGGGTTTGTTCCTCTCTCGTACTTTCAGTCTCAGATCCTTCAGCATGAAGAGCAATGTGTAGAAAACATTTTTTAGCAGTAACTCTGTAAATTAAAGATATACAGTAAAACATAATGCCTCATATTACACAGTAAGTATAAGCAGGAGAACATGTTGATTTTTCACAGTATACTCACTACAAAAAATTATAGACTACACCAGTATGTCAATGTCTATGAAAAGTGAGAAAAGTAGAAGATAACAGATAAATAGATGGACAAGATTATAACACAAAACTTATTAGGCTAAATCATTGTCTTTCACCCCATCGCCGATTCATAGAAAAATACAGTAAAGACAGTTTTATTCATCTTAATACAATCTTAAATCTCAGTGAGTGCAGTTTGTAAATCAAGCGTGCGGTGTGTAATAGTCAGTTGCTGTTTACTGGCACTGAATATGAGTCACATCACCTGTGTAAATACAAATATGAATCTGTAACCACATTCAGAATCTAATCGCACTATCAATCCCTGTGACAACTTCACCTACTGGAACAGTTTTTCACAATGTTTTACAAGAACTGAATCTTACAAAACAACAGATTGCGAATTCACTGCGGTTCAAAGCAGTATAACTGTAGATTTGCAGTATTAACAAAGTATATATGAAGAGTTCAGATGCAAAAGCCTCTAAGTGCCATTTGAAATTTTCTTCTTTAATGATAATTTTTATCAAGCTTATATATATTTAAGTTCAGTGATTTCACTTAAATGGCAATGATAATTACCTATTAATTGTCATTCAAGTGAAATTACTGAACTTAAATATACAAGCTTGATAAAAATCATCATTAAAGAAGAAAATTTCAAATGGCACTTAGAGGCTTTTGCATCTGAACTCTTCATATACAATATAACTGCAGTAAGACGTGTCCAAAAAACTGCATTTTTACTACATGTAGCAAAAACTGCAGTATTACTTCTTTTTTGTAAGGGACGAGCAACAAAAACCGATCATGTCTGTAGTTTTTAAGTGTGATTTGTGTATGATTGTAACATGATTCTTCTCTGCCAGTGAGAATTTATTAAACATAGTAAAATGAACCACTCATTCATCGAAAAAACAGTTCATTTGGGTTCTATACATGAAGCATAGGGTTCTTTACTCAATTCCAAAGAACCTTTTGTGCTAAAAAAAAGGTTCTATAATGACAAGAAAGAATTCTTTTGGCACAAAGGTTCTTTATAAGCTATTATTCATTAATATATTACATTATTCTGATTTTTGTAGTTGTAATTGGATTATTGTTTATTAAACTGTTGTAGTAACTTAATATCACATTTTAATCATGCAGATTTTTGGAGGACAAAAACTGAAACGGCACTCTTCGTGGGATATTGATTAAGTACATAAAATGATATAAATATATACATTTTCTAACCCCCATATCTTGAATTCTGTGATCATTCACAGCATTCATAAATTCATTTTAGGGTCTTGATGTTTGTCAATAATATGAAACATTTAATCCGGAAATGACAAAACAAATGATAATGAATGAACCCAAAAGGTTCCATATAGAACCCCTTTTTCCTGGTTCCAAAGAACCCTAAAGGATTCTTATTATTGAATCATTAAAAAGGGTTCTGTATAGAATCTTTTAGGGGTTCCAAATATGTAGCGCTGATAGAACCTTTTAAGGTTCTATATATATATATAGAACCTTTTCTTCTAAGAGTACAATAGCCAATTGTACACTGCATCATCATACCTGTCAACATTTGGGTACCAAAATACGGGAGACCTGTGTAGAGGGAGGGGGTCATGCCATCCATACAACACACCCCATCGGCAAATCATAGAACACTTCATTTAAGACAGTTGTATTCATCTTAACAATACACAATAAATAAATAATCAGAAAAACAGATTTCTAAAATAAGGGATAGAACGCAAACACCATCGCACACCTGCAGGTGAACTGCAAAACACATGATGTGCCTGATGAGGGTCATGAGTCCGAAACGTTGCCAATAAATATTTTTCATACGTTTTTGCAAGTGTAGATAGTGTTTGGGAGGTATTTGTTTGTGACAATATGTGACATTTTGCAAAACTAGCAGGTGATGTGGTGTAATATTCAGTTACTGTAAGAAACCGTTCCAGCGGGTGGAGTTTACCGGCACTCTATATTACACTTCACCTGTGGTTTTCACTGGAGCGGAATATTATTAGGCCTACATCCATATTATCGCTGTGTGGTGAAGTAGTTGCGTAACTTCACCTACTGGAACAGTATTTCACAGGAACTGAATATTACAAAATATTATATTTTGTTAAGAAATTTTGCATTCTATTTTGGCTTTCTCACGTGTCCCTATTTGTGTTGCGTCCCTTTTGAGCCACGGGGTATCGAAGCTTGTTTCCGCCACAGAATGAAAAATAAAAAAGGTAGCTAATTTCGACTTTTTATCTCACAATTGCAAGAAAGTCAGAATTGCGTGATATAAAGTCGCAATTGCGTGTTATATAGTCAGAATTGCAAGATATTAAGTCAGAATTGCGTGTTATAAAGTCAGAATTGCGAAATATTAAGTCAGAATTGCGAGATATAAAGTCAGAATTGCAAGATATGAAGTCGCAATTGTGTGTTATAAAGTCAGAAATGCATGATATAAAGTCAGATTTGTGAGATTTAAACTATTCTGAGGGGGAAATAAGTTAGTCGTTTTTTCCCCTTAGAATTGGCCTGTTTATATCTCAAAATATAACTATAACTCGCAATTGCGAGTTTATAGGCCCTATCTCAAAATTCTGAGAAAAGATGTCAGTATTTCGACATATAAACGCGAAATGATGTGTTATAAAGTCAGAATTGCAAGATGTAGGCCTGAACTCGCAATTGTGAGGAAAAAAGTCCAAATCGTGAGATAAAAAGTCGCAATTATTATTATTTTTTTTTTCTTTTTATTCAGTGGCGGAAACAAACTTCCATAATGGGGAAAATACGGTGCGGACTGAAAATCAAGTTATCCAAAAAACCAAAGCTATAGTGTAGCTACGGTTCACAGATCTGAGCACAGAGACTTTTTCTACAATAGCCTGCTTTTGTGTGAACTTTTTTAACATTTTATTAAGACTTCAGAATGAATCGCATTACAATAGCCAATTGTACACTCATAAAATCGGCTTTTAACACAGTCATGCATTTTAATGGTGCGTTCAGACCGGACGCGAATAGCGCGTCAGGCGCGAGTGATTTCAATGTTTACTGTGAAAAGTGCAACGTTTTATTTTGTTTCACCCTTCTTGGTCGTGTTACACGACTACTCGTTTATATTGAATGAACTGGGCTAGTTAAGTGCGATCAAAGTGTGTATCAACTCGTCTTAGTTAAGGGAATAACAAACATAGTTTAATTAATATGAAAAAACGGTGGAGTATCCCTTTAAATACAGCTCTTGGACTATGAGGGCTGAAACTTCTGTTGGGCTCAGTGTGAATACGAAGGCCCCAAAACTTATTGTCCCATCCAGTTTTATTTATTTGAACCACTCTTTTAGCTTCTTTCTTTATGTGAAAGATATTGGAAACAGAACTATTTTCTATAAAGACTAAATTTTAAAACATTGCCAAAATTCTAAATGGGCCTAGAGAGAACAATGAAGTAGGTCTACGTTTTAGCGCTTACGATTTAATGAAAATTAAGTTGTGATCCGAGCCACTCTGAAAACACTGGGTCTTGAGCTGATCATGCGGACAAAGTCTGCACATACATGTTTTATTTTTGCAATTTGATAAGGTCACTATTTACATATTGCGTTTTCCTTGGAGATAAATGGCCCCAGGGCCTTTGCAAGTCATAACCCGTCCCTGATTCACCACACCATCACGTGATTTCTGATTTGAGGCATAAATACAGCTGTCCGTAAGACCATGAGGACGCTGAAGTCTTTCAGGAGAACACTGGATATACTGTAAGTGTATTATGCTTTTTATTCACAATTTAATTTTGTAGTGGATATCCAAAGTAGACTTCACCAGCTAGCATTAAAAAAAAAATAACCATGGTTTTATTATAGTAAAAGTGTACTAACCATGTTTTATTGGCGGGCAGTTTGATTACTAGTTGTATATTCACAGTTTTACTAAAAATACGTTTATTCGAGTGTGGTAATACATACTTCTTTTAAACTAAAAGTAAGAGTGTACTTTCAGTCCACATACTTCTCAAAATTATATTTAATTGTGTATTTTTCTGTCATATTTTTCAGAGACCTTGGACGCATTACCAGTCGACGCTCAATCAAATAACAACAACATGGCCAATTGCGGAGGTGAGACACTTTCCATTTCCAACTCATTCATTTATCCTGAAATAACAGTTCTGTGTTGCACGCGTTTCGTAATGATCCTGCAAGAAGCTGTGATTTGAGTTCTGTGATTTCACACAGGACATGATGTCGTATCAATGCAACTCAAGACTGATCTTAGATACAGCAAGGGTTCTTCATATAGTCTAAATGCAACAGACCGCATGCATGCTGTGATATGAATCCAACAATGTGAAAAAAGTCATATTTACTAAGTAAAACAAGTTCAATCGACTAAAATATTACTCAAAGTGCTTTGTGCACTTAAAGTTATGCAAACTCCAACTAAATGGTTTACAGCAGATTTGCCCAAATGCATCAGACTGTATAAGGAAAGGAAATGTAGATAAAACCAATCGTGGTACCAAAAACACAACACAACACTAACCCAAAATACGTTTTTTCGCAGCAAATACCTTTTTGCAAAATGCTGCATTTTAGGATTGCATGCAACAATCAGTAAACAAATACTTTTAAACGAACAGTTTCATTGAGGCACAGCGATCATCAACACACTGGAGAAGAAGCACGTACTTAAAGGAGTAGTTCACTTTTGAAAAAACTTTTGCTGATAATTTACTCGCCCCCATGTCATCCAAGATGTCCATGTCTTTCTTTCTTCAGTCGAAAAGAAATGAAGGTTTTTGATGAAAACATTCCAGGATTTTCTCCATATAATGGACTTCAATGGGGTCCAAACGGTTCAAGGTCCAAATGAGAGTTTCAGTGCAAACTGTTCAAAGGGCTTTAAACGATTCCAGATGATAAATAAGGGTCTTATCAAGCGAAACGATCGCTCATTTAAAAAATAAAAAAACAAAGTTTAAGTTCTATAAGCTCAAATGCTCGCCTTGCTCTGTTCTGTGATGCGCGTTCGTGACTCTCCTGTTCGAACTCGTTCATCAAAATGAACAAATCTTTTTCGTGTCATTTGGTTCATTCAACGAACAGAATGAACGAGTTGACTCAGGAAAAAATTCGTTCATTTTGATGACTGTTAGATGAATGCGCATCACAGAACAGAGCAAGGTGAGCATTTGAGCTTATAGAACTTAAAACTTTTTTATTAAATGAGCGTTCGTTTCACTTGATAAGACCCTTATTCATCGTCCTGAATCGTTTAAAGCCCTTTGAACAGTTTGCACTGAAACTCTCATTTGGACCTTGAACCGTTTGGACCCCATTGAAGTTCATTATATGGAGAAAATCCTGGAATGTTTTCATCAAAAACCTTCATTTCTTTTCGACTGAAGAAAGAAACACATGGACATCTTGGATGACATGGGGGCGAGTAAATTATCAGCAAAAGTTTTTTTAAAAGTGAACTAATCCTTTAACTGGAACTCAAACTTTGAACTTCAAAATAAAAGTTTGTTCAAAAAAGTGTTAGCTAGTTTTTGATCGAGGGACACGTTTATTCCTCAAACTCTGCCTCTATAGTCGAGCTTGTTTTACTTTTCAGTTCTGGCTCGCCACGCATGATAAAGCTGACGTTGTACTTTGTACACACCTCTTTAATGTCACTTGAGCACGAAACACTGAGAAGAGCCAAGACTGGCATGCATATAAATACTGTAAATGTTATGACCCATTTCACCCATGATTGACCATCACTAATGTTTGGTTTGCATCTCATCAGAATCTCAGGTTGCCATCAGTAACTCCACATGGAGTCCCGAGTTCATCCAGGAGCTTCTCCCGTCTGCGCAGCGAACGGCGCTCCTCTATAATCTGTCATTCCTGTGTCTGGGAGGATTCCCGAAGCTGGAGCGTCTGATCCGAGAACAAGCTATTGACACACAAATGCTGTTCGGATCCTCTGAGGCTCTTCTGCTGAAGGTGAGACTTATTCATCATCATGTTCTGCTTTAAAAATCCTTAATGTAAATTCTGTCATGATTTACTCGTTTCAAAACCGTGCTGTTAATTTTGCTTCAGAAATTGTGAACTAGTGTTTTATCTTTCCTAATTGACTGACATTTACATGCTTTTATCCAAAAAGGTACATATTTACATTCTTATCAGTTCTTGCTTTCCCAATCCCTGGGAATTGAACCCGTGAGCCAACGCTCTACTGTTTGAGCTATAGAGGAAAGCCTGACACTTATGAAATCTTATTTCCGACATGAAATTTAAAGGGAACTGGCTTTTAAAATTTTATTATATTGTTGTCTGAGGTCAACTTATGACGTTCGCTTGGTTTTTGCATTCAAAAACATCAAAATGAATAAGTGATAGGCTATTTTGTAACCTAGTTTTGAGCCTAGCTGAAAAACGCTGGGTTTTTATGGGCGTTTCGCACTGAAGATCAGTGGTGGAGGAAGTACTGAATCTCAGTACTTAAGTAAAAGTACAAATACCCAGATAAATATTTACTTTAGTAAAAGTAGAAGTAACACAATGACAACCATACTTAAGTAAAAAGTACTTTATTTTAAATGTACTTTAAGTATTAAAAGTAAAAGTACTTGCATAACAATTTATTCTCTTAATGTCTATTTTCTAATGATTAATAAAACATTTAATTCTAACTCATTCAACCTAATACTCCTATAATGATGTTCAATAATGATGGAAAAAAATGTCACCATTTCTGAAACAAGCTTGCAATTAGGCAATATAAACCATGTTTATCCTTACTATATGTTAATAACTATGTTTGGCAGTAAACGCGATTCATTTATGGTGTAATTATGAACCTCTTGGCTTGCCATAATCCTAACCAAACCAAACATATATTACACACGGTGTGTTTCCTATGCACGTAAAAACAAATTTTCGCGTATGAGTTGCACGATAAACACACTGCATTTAGTGTGACCGGGTTGATATACTGTATCTATGGCAACCAAACGTCACTGGTGAGACAAACGTGCAACGAACGGACGGTCAGATTACGTTTTGGCAGGGAAAAACTGATCCGAAAATGTAACAGAAGTTGTAGAAACGTAGTGGAGTAGAAAGTATAATAATTGCTGCAAAATGTAACAAAGTAAAAGTAAAAAGTATGCACTATTTATTCTACTTAACCCTTGTGCATTGTTCAAATTCACTACCCTTTCGTTATGTTCGTGGCTGAAAAAAGCCACTACTTTAAACTGCTGTAAAAATGTATCAGATAAATATTTTTTTCAAATTTTTTTGCATAAATCTATTACCCGACCTCAGTCCTGATCAAAACTATTAAATTTTTTTTTAAAATTCAGGATTTTAACTCTTTAATTGCCAAATTCATAAATGATGTCACTGATTTGGGGGAAAAAAAACACAAAATTACTTATTTTCAATATAAAATATGATTGTGGACTGGATTTTTTTTTACCTTTTATCACAGTCTTGGACATGTCAAAGATTAGAAACAACATTGGTTTTGATGCATTGTTAGTTTTTGTGTAGCATCAGATTTTAACTTTTTCTCCCTCATTTACTGTTCGTGGCTGTTTTTGCCCCATTGACTTCCATTATAAGCACATTTTTTGATTGCAAAGCCATGACACCATAAAATCATGCATTTTTGATTGTTGATGGTTTTCCCTGTTGGGAAGAGGTAAAATTTGTAATTTTTACTGTTGATAACCAGGTGGAACCATTAACCCTTTAGACAGGCCTGTGCAAAAAAAAGGCTTAGTTTCTGGCTTTTACATGGAGTTATATGGAGTATAATAGCATATTACAGTGTGTATACAGTATGTGTGTGTGTGCGTGAGAGAGTGTGAGAGAGTGTGAGAACTCACCTTGATGCGTCTGAGAAAATAAAAATATACACCAGCTCTCAAAACTACATGGAGTAAACAAAAACAAATTAAGTGTATTTATGCATCTGCTGCCTTTTGATGGTGAGAAATGCAGACTAAACAAAAACAAAGCAAGTGGATATAAACGCTTGTCATATGATGGTGAGAAGAGCAGCAAGCAACATGAGAAAGGGCTTGACTTGTAGTGAAGTTTTAGAGATGATTATGCAGTCTGACCCCTCCAGCGAGCTGCAGGAGATATTGTCTTCTCACTCTGACCGCAGACTCAGGACAGTCAGATCCTGGTGTGGATGTGGCACCCTCATCATCATCTCAAGCTTCCACTGAAGGCGAGGAGGATTCAGATGATCCTGGATCTGGATGGACTGGGAGAATCTTGAGAGGGACATGGTGGTTCTGAAAATCGCACGACCACTGCGATCATCCCACAGGCAACGTGTGGACTCCCCTCTGGATCTGTAGACGCTGGCCAAAATCAGTAGCCCCATATAGGCACAGAGATCTGTGGAGTCCACAGATCCAGGATCCTCTGAATCCTCCTCGCCTTCAGTGAGCTCTAGCTTCCACTGAAAGCAGGAGGATTCTGTGGATCCTGGATCTGGGTGGATTAGGAGAAATGGTGAAGTATGGTTTTCCAGCAATGCGGAGACAACTCCCTTTCTTCAGTCTGCAAGAGGCGTGAGTCGAGGGCCGACACGCTATGCTATCGCAAGGGTCCAGAACATGGATTCTGTGTTCAATCTGTTTTTTACAGAGGAGATGACTGACCTCATTGTCAGCATGACCAACCTCCATGGGCACCGCACAATGAGAAACTGGACTGGGGTGGACTCCACAGATCTCTGTGCCTATATGGGGCTATTTTGGCCACCGTCTACAGATCCAGAGGGGAGTCCACACATTGCCTGTGGGATGATCGCAGTGGTCGTGCGATTTTCAGAACCACCATGTCCCTCTCAAGATTCTCCCAGTCCACCCAGATCCAGGATCCTCTGAATCCTCCTCGCCTTCAGTGGAAGCTTGAGATGATGATGAGGGTGCCACATCCACACCAGGATCTGACTGTCCTGAGTCTGCGGTCAGAGTGAGAAGACAATACCTCATGCAGCTCGCTGGAGGGGTCAGACTGCATAATCATCTCTAAAACTTCACTACAAGTCAAGCCCTTTCTCATGTTGCTTGCTGCTCTTCTCACCATCAAATGACAAGCGTTTATATCCACTTGCTTTGTTTTTGTTTAGTCTGCATTTCTCACCATCAAAAGGCAGCAGATGCATAAATACACTTACTTTGTTTTTGTTTACTCCATGTAGTTTTGAGAGCTGAAGTGTATATTTTTATTTTCTCAGACGCATCAAGGTGAGTTCTCACACTCTCTCACACACTCACGCACACACACACATACTGTATACACACTGTAATATGCTATTATACTCCATATAACTCCATGTAAAAGCCAGAAACTAAGCCTTTTTTTGCACAGGCCTGTCTAAAGGGTTAAATGGTTCCACCTGGTTATCAACAGTAAAAATTACAAATTTTACCTCTTCCCAACAGGGAAAACCATCAACAATCAAAAATGCATGATTTTATGGTGTCATGGCTTTGCAATCAAAAAATGTGCTTATAATGGAAGTCAATGGGGCAAAAACAGCCACGAACAGTAAATGAGGGAGAAAAAGTTAAAATCTGATGCTACACAAAAACTAACAATGCATCAAAACCAATGTTGTTTCTAATCTTTGACATGTCCAAGACTGTGATAAAAGGTAAAAAAAAATCCAGTCCACAATCATATTTTATATTGAAAATAAGTAATTTTGTGTTTTTTTTCCCCCAAATCAGTGACATCATTTATGAATTTGGCAATTAAAGAGTTAAAATCCTGAATTTTTAAAAAAAATTTAATAGTTTTGATCAGGACTGAGGTCGGTAAATAGATTTATGCAAAAAAATTTGAAAAAAATATTTATCTGATACATTTTTACAGCAGTTTAAAGTAGTGGCTTTTTTCAGCCACGAACATAACGAAAGGGTAGTGAATTTGCCCAGAGTGTACTGTTGAGTTTTTGAAAAATTTCAAAGCATTTTCCCAAAATATGTGTCAAAATAAGATTTGTCACCAAAAATCATTCCATTTGCTGAAACAAGGAAAAAGTTATGGCCAAATTAAGACTAAAAAATACCCCTTAGTGGCTGAAAAAAGCCACAACAGCACATAAGGGTTAAATAAAGTAAAGATACGTGAAAAATGTACTTAAGTAAAGTAACAAAGTATTTGTACTTTGTTACATTCCACCACTGCTGAAGACTTGGAAGTAAACGCCCACTGCTGTGAGTGGATAACAGTTTTGCATAATATAATGAGTTTCGACTCACCTCGTCGGTGCACGTGGGGGAAATTGTTTTGAAAACGTCCAATGTTGTAAAATGGCGCCCGGAATGATTCGCCCACACATGTTGGACCCAGAGTCCGTGTGTTGCCCCATTCCTGTCAGATCCAATATAGACGAAACAGCACCGTTCTTTACTCTTAATCGCTCTGCAAATCCAGTCTTGATTACAAAACAATCCGAACAGACGGACAATGTTTTACCCTCATCAAATAAAGTTTATCCATGCAGTCCTATTGGAGTCCAGAGGAGCTATCTTCCACAACCAGGCACTGCACAATATTCTGTATCGCTCGGTAGCTCGATCCGGATTATCATCATGAGGTAGGCATCTATGTTATTTAGCTATGCGTGTAATGCGTGAATCGGTGGGCGGGGCTAAACCGGCCGTGTTGAAGTAGGCGTCGATCTTCTTCTGCGGGGGTGGGGTTTTACAGTTCCCCACTTTGAAAAACGAGTCGTTTGCCGAGGCTGCTTTTATTGGACTAACAAGGACGATTTCAGTTCTGAAACTTACAGGATATTCTTATAATATGATGATGACCTCTTAGATGTCAAAAGCTCAAGGAAAATTTCATTTCTCAGTTCATCACCCCTTTAAATGAAAAAAAAAAACAGGTAATTGCACCTTTTACTCAAGATTCCGACGTTTCCCCTCAAAATTCTGCATTTGTATGTGGTCAGATATTCAAATTTTAGCATTTAAGAAGTTGCAAGTAGCTACATTTTTGTTCTGTGGTGGAAGCAAGCTTCCATAAATATCTGTGCAGTGGTTCTTTTAAACTTATCCTTTTGTTTAAATGTTGTTTTCACCTAGTGTGTCGGCACGAGTTCCAACCTGGTCACTTCCCTGTTCCCGATGCTGATCAGTGCTGTTGAGAAGAACAAACCCGTTCTTGCTGTGAAATACCTGGAGAAAGCCAGAGCATGGATCAATGACATTATCAAGGCTGTGGAAGCGATTGTGACGAGGTGAAAACATTGAATTTAGCATTTCACAACAAACAGACCCCAAACACAAAATCAAGACTTTGTAAAATCAAGACATATTCTGGACAAATGTGGGCAAAATAGTTTTGATTTATTTATTTTTTTAAATACTTCCCTTGATCTGAGCGGTACTCTCCTTAACTCCTTAATCTTGTATTTGGGTCAAGAATGGGCACCCATAGAAATGAATGGGAAAAACTGTAATTTAGAGCATTCTGAAATAAGCCAAAATAAGACACCAGGTGACAGCAAAGTCACTTCATCTTTAGGTTTTAGCTCGAAGAACTTATTGGAATGATATTTTAATGTAGTTAAAAAAAAAATTAAAATAAAACATAAAAATAAGCATAATTTACCTAGAAAATATGGTACTTTTTGAAGTAAATAAATTAATTTACTTCTAAAAAAATGAAAAAATAGACAAAACTTTATCGAAGACAGTGATATAACATTTACAGTGGTATGAATAAGTTTTGGCACCCATGCTAAAGTTGCCTAAAAAGAGGAATAAAAAATCATCTTTTGGATATTGATCTTAATGCCTTAATTAGAAAAATGAGGAAAACTCCAACCTTTAAGGACACAAATTTTCTTTGTGAATGAATAATGTATCATAAAAAATAAATGTTTTTCTTTAAAAAACAGGGTGCATAAGTCATTGCCCCCCTATGTTAAATTCCCATAGAGTCAGGCAGATTTTTCATTTTTAAAAGCCAGTTATTTCATGGATCCAGGATAATATGCATCCTGATAAAGTTCCCTTGGCCTTTGGGATTAAAATATTCCCACATCATCACACACCTTCCACCACACCTAGAGATTGGCATGGGGTACTTTCCATAAGATCTATTAGGCTAACTGAAGTAAAACCATGCCAATCTTTAGGTGTGGTGAATGGTGTGTGATGATGGGTGCCCTGACTTATGCACCCTGTATTTTAAGGAAAAACATTTATTTATTTATGATACATTATTCATTCACAAAGAAAATTGGTGTCCTTAAAGGTTGGAGTTTTCCTCATTTTTCTAATTAAGGCATTAAGATCAATATCCAAAAGATGATTTTTTATTCCTCTTTTTAGGCAACTTTAGCATGGGGGTCAAAACTTATTCACATCACTGTATAATAAATAAAAACTAGGATCACACCTGAGTCCTCTGTGCCCACATTTGTCCACAATTACAGGATTAAGGGCTATAAAGTGAATACGGTTTTTGGGTCTACGAAAACTGTTCAGTGAATCCGGACCACATCACTGTACATGCGTCATATTTTTCAGGTATGATCAACAAACCCGAAGTGTGAAAACATGCACCAGTGACGTGTTTCAAGAACAGAAAGACACCGAAGACAAAATAACGAAACAGACTGATGAGATGAAGGGTCTGGAGAACGCTCTGGCCGATCTTGAAACAGAGCTGAGAAATACTTGCAGAAATATGGAGGAAATTGACAGGAGATATCGAGACAAAAACCAAGAGCTGCAGAATAACATCAGACACTACGAAAAAAACAAACAATGTTCTTGGTTTCTCAGAGCCTTTGTACCGTTTTTTGCAGTCCATCAAGACTGCTCGAACTTGCCCGGTATCGCAGCTAAACAAGCCGAGCTGGCCCACATCGACTCTGAAAAGAACGGTCTTCGAAACACCGAGTGGAACATTAAAGTCCAGCAGACCGATCTTCAGCTGAAGTTGGCCAACTCCAAAATAAAGCTGGGTGAGTGCAACATACAGAAAATACATCATCTTCAGCACTGTGTGTGTGAAGGCTCCCAATGATCTCTCGTGAGCCAGAATCTGTTGTATGTTGTTTGTCCAGGTGCGATTCCCAATCCTGTGCACCTGAAGGAAGTCCAGCGGTGCCTTGATCAAATCCGACAAATTCTGGTTGATCTTAAAAAGTTCTGGGAGAAAGTGGGTGTCATGCTGGACACGCTGAAAGAGAAGACCTTTGTTGGGGAGGATCTGATTGAAATGTGTGAAATGAAAGATGAGTTTATCAGCTCCATCGAAGAAGCAGGAAAGGTTAGTTGGACAAAGTTGAGCAAAAAGTTGATTATGCGTTTCATTGTCAATTTCATTTCCTATGTAGTTTTTATGTCTTATCCATAGTGCAATCTGATTCATATTGTACAACTGACACTATTTTCCAGAACCCAAAGCAGGAGAAGTTCACTTTTAAAAAAACTTTTGCTGATAATTGACAATCGAGTATCGATTGGAACCGGGACTAACTTTTCGTTTTTCCCGGAATCGTTCAAAAGTAAAAATTTCGATTCCTAGTTTCGATATTCACAGTCCGCCGAGCGGAAGAAGAAACCGCTGAACAACACCAACGAAGAAGCGTCCACCGGAAGTGTTGGCATAACCGCGCGAGTCGAACATGAGTAGCTTACGTCGGCGATCCAAAGTGTGGCTTTACTTTTCTAAAAATAACTAAATCTTGGCAAAATGCAAAATTTGTGACAAAAGGAGTATTTTTACAGAAGGAGTATTTCCTTCAGAAAGACCGTTGGTTAGCAAGGTTAGCTAAACTTTTTTGACCCCGCCTCTTAAAAGAATCGGAATCGAGAATTGTTAGGAACCGGAATCGAAACAAGGAATCGGAATCAGAATCCTTCAAATTCAAACGATACCCAACCCTACCCCCATGTCATCCAAGATGTCCATGTCTTTCTTTCTTCAGTCGAAAAGAAATGAAGGTTTTTGATGAAAACATTCCAGGATTTTCACCATATAATGGACTTCAATGGGGTCCAAACGGTTCACGGTCCAGAAGACAGTTTCAGTGCAAACTGTTCAAAGGGCTTTAAACGATTCCAGACGATGAATCAAGCGAAACGATCGCTCATTTAATAAATAAACAAAGTTTAAGTTTTATAAGCTCAAATGGTCACCTTGCTGTGTTCTGTAATGCACATTCGTGACTCTCCTGTTCGAACTGGTTTATCAAAATGAACGAATCTTTTCCCCGAGTCAACTCGTTCATTTCGTTTGTTGAATGAACCAAATGACAGGAAAAAAAGATTTGTTCATTTTGATGAACAGGAGAGTCACGAACGCTGAAAAGAAGGGCGAGTTTTTCCATTTTTTCCAAGTCCCCATGAAGTCAGTGATACTGAATGAATGATTCTGAAATCAATGATATTGCAGTAAATGTGTTGTGATTAATGCTGCTGTGTTTGAATCTTTCAGTACTGGAAGAGATTTGGGGATTGCTGTCAGAGAGCACAGGGCATCTTCAGCGTTCAGTCTAAGGACGCTTATAAATTCCTGGAGATCAATCCGTCTTCACTCTCAGAAGATGAAAGGAAAGCGCTGTATAAGTCTATCATGGAGAGGCTGAAGAAGATCGATCCTCATGGATCATCCCAAACCGCCATCAATAAGTGACATACAGAGATCTGATGCTTCCTTTCACACTTTTAAAACGCATATGCCTATTAATGCATACAACTTATCAATTTTGAAGTCTTTACAACTGCTCTTGCACATGTTCAATCAATGCTCTACATAAATACTCTGTAGTTGGGAATAGCCTATTTCTATCTCAAATTGTATGACTATCTCTGTTAAAATTGCTTTGCATTTCATTATGGTTTATAAATCTTGTGATCTGGTCACATGACTAATGTCTGTCACACAATAAAGACAAAATACATTTCACTGAGGCCAAATCCTTCAAAAAGTAGGCTGATTTATAATGTTTCAGTGGACATCCCCACAGTTCTGATTTCATACGCACCATAATTTGACCGTTTCTATAGTTTAAAGTGCGCACTGCATCAGAACACTGGAGTTGTATTATGCCTGGTTCAGATTACACGATTTTAGCCCGATTTTCGCACGATCTATTTGATGTAGGGTGTCCTGTAGATTCGTAAATTCGATCGTATCATCTGATAGTAGGCCACAACCTACGTCGCGTCTGCGATGCTTCACTACCCCAGATAGCAGACTGACATTGAATCAACGTGGAAACATGACATTGAAACAACGTTGATCTGACATTATTTTGCTCATCGAATTAACGTTGAACCAACGTCAGACGCGTCATTCTTTCAAAACTAACGGAAAATCAACTTGAAATCAACGCGTTGTTTCAACGTTATGAAAGCAAACCAATTTCCGATTTTCATTTAGCTTTGAAGAATGCCGCGTCTGACGTTGGTTCAACGTTAATTCGATGAGCAAAATTCGACGTTGTTTCAATGTCATGAGAGACGTCGTTTCCACGTTGATTCAATGTCAGTTTGCTATCTGGGACATCACGACAAAAAGACTAGCATGTTTAATTAACGGTCGTCCACGACGGTTCCGTCACATGTATGAGGTTGACCAATAGGAGCACAGAAGCTTTTCCGTACACAACTTTCAAAAATGGCAAAACGAAAGAGAGACGATGGTGCTAAAGTTAAAACTAAAAGTAAAAATATATAAGAAAAGTCAAGTCAAGTCACATTTATTTATATAGCGCTTTTCACAATACAGATTGTATCAAAGCAGCTTCACAGTGATAACATGAAAGTAGCACAATACAGATCAACAACATTGCTAAACACTAAATAACCCCAACTGAGCAAGCTCAAAGCGAGCCAAAAGCAAGGCGACAGTGGCAAGGAACCAAAACTCCATCAGATTGGATGGAGAAAAAACCTTGGGAGAACCCAGGCTCAGTCGGGGGCCAGTTCTCCTCTGGCTAACATTCATATTGTTTAAATATAAATATTAAATATAAATATTGTTTATGAATAAAACGGCGCCATAACATATCACAGGCGTTGAGTCGTCTCATCACAGGCGTTGGGGCATCCGAAATCCCCGTGAGAGGCTGGACACAAAACTGGACCTGACGAACGCCATTTTTCTCGGGACAAGCGTCCCGAGATAACAGCAGAAAGGCAGATGGGAAATAATTAGCATAGCTGATGTTCATAATGATTTCCGTTATAACTCACAAACTCTCCGTAACCCGAACTCTCCGCAACCCAACCATACGCGCCGACCCGTTTGTCTAAGAGGCTGTCGAGCCCCACTGGTGCGTTAAGCAGTTTCAGTGGCAAACGGTTCCGTATGGCATAACAGAGGACTAGAAGGTAAGCATTATGTGAATGCTTGACTAAAGAGAAGCGTCTTTAATCTAGTTTTGAACTGTGTCAGCGAGTCAGAGCCTCGGACCGTATCGGGAAGGCCATTCCAGAGTTTTGGAGCTAAATGCGAGAACGCCCTCCCTCCTTTACTGGACTTCGATATCCTAGGAATGACCAGAAGCCTTGAATTTAGTGATCTTAAGGAACGCGGTGGATTGTAGGGCGAAAGAAGGTCCGTTAAGTACATAGGTGCTAAACCATTTAGGGCTTTATAGGTCAGTAGCAGTATTTTGTAATTGATACGGAACTTAATAGGTAACCAGTGTAGAGATGATAAAATCGAAAACAATATTTTACCTCAAGTTCTCTTTGGAGGATTGACTGCCCGTACTGTCCTCTTCGAGCCGAGTTCTCAAGTCTCAAGCAATGGCCGTGAGACACACGCAATTCAACCAGTTCGCACGCTCAGTCACACGCCACACCGCGTATTTCTCACACTGAAAAGGCAATGCCGAGCAATCCAGGAGCGTGTCCATTGTCGGGTTTTCTTTCTTTCTTTTTTTCTGAACACAGGACAACCAATACAACACTCACCCAGAGCAGTTAAATATGTTTTTAAACAGCTGCACTCACCGCTTCATCCATTGTTTGTTTACGTTCGTTTCCGGAAGTACTCGCTAGTTTCGCCTTCTCGATGACATCACGATCATGCGATGACTGGTCAGGAAGCAACGTGTAGTCTGACATAAGTCTTGTTGACATTTCCGTTAAACATGTAAAGCTCCACAATTAAAAAAAAGAGCTGCAGATAGATCTTTTAACAACACAGAGACTAACAACAGTGGATAGGCTACTTTTCTAGAACACAGCAGAACATATGACTCAGTTCGACTAAACCGGACTAGGGCCAAGATGTGCAAATTTATGTGAAGTATATAGTATTTAGCCTATCACCCCATCATGCTAGAATCATGCTATTCCGACCTCTGTGGCGTTATGACGTCATTTCATTGAAACTCATCTATTAGCTAAAAAAAAATTATGTTAGCGATAATGATAGTGCCAATGAGCAAAAAAAAAAAAAGAAAGAAAAAGGCAATAGCCTGTGTAGGTTTTATGCAAGCATGCCGCACAAGCCCACAAAAGTAAAGCCAAAACCTCTCGATCGCCCCCCTGTGACCGGTCCTAGTATAGGTCATAACCCCCGCCTCCCCATGTCATTCAACGGGACGTGAGACCACTAAACAATTAAAATACACTTCACATATCCTTTTTCCAAAGAAAGTTTCTGTCATTTACTGTAGTTTATATCACGCTGATGTAATTCCAAGTGTTTGTTTTTAAAATAAGTTTGTATTTAGTTCGTTATTTGATGCTATAAAAACGGTGCTGTGACATCATGATTGACAGCTGTGATTGACAGGTTCTCTGTGCGAAGTAGTCACTGAAGCACCAGCGGACTTTTTTTCATAATGTTAACTATGTGGTAGTAGTTGTATTTACCTTATTTTAACGAGGTTCTGTAATCAGCAGACATCATTAGAGACAGAGGCCACTTAATGAAAGTGCGGGGCGTGTGCTTGCAAAAGATTCAGCGAGTGAGGGCGCGGCCTTGTTTTCGCGGCTTTACTTCCTGCTCACGACTGCGCATGACTGGTCCCGAAAACGCAAAGTGCGCAGAGATGTCAGCGTCACATGACATTGGCGGCTTCAGTTCTCTCTGATGGAAAAGAGCGGAGGAGCGTCGTCCATCTTTTTTTACAGTCTATGGTTGTATGTCCTGTGGCCAATGAAATAAAATAAAAAAAGAATGCAGCTGAATATTTTTTTTTCTACATTAGCTCTGTTGTTCACTTGATTTACACCTGATCCACCATGAAGTCCACAGGTCTGTAGGCTGTTCTGCAAAAAATAAATAATAAATATTATTTATTATTATTAAAAAAAAACTATTATTGTAGGTCGGGGGCAATTAAAGTCAGAAAAGCTGCGAACTGGTGATGATAAACAAAACAAACATGGAAGTACCGGAAGTTCCAAATCATGACATTTAATGCACATTATGAGGTGAGAAGTTGAGATCAACAAGAACACGAAGTTTAAGAACACGTTATTTACAAGCAACCCACGCGTTCTGTTATCATTTGTAAGAACCTTCAGAACCTTGCCTTGGCTATACATTGTCTGTATAGCGTTACAAAAAAAATCTCCTGTAATGCATGAACGGATGAAACAGTGTGTAAACGGGCTGATGTTGAACTGAGAGAGTCAGCTGACGCCTCTGTCGTGTGCACTTGTTTGATGTGTTTCAGCTGGGTTTGTCCTGCTCTTCATCCAGCTGTGAGGGTTTGTAACCAACATCTGGCCCACAGACTCAACATCTGCTCCAGCTGACCGACTGAGACACCGGGGCTAGTTGTCACACGTCCGACGCCAATCAATACTTGTTTATTTTTCAACGTCAATTTCTGTATTTGTTTATCTACTATTTCTCAGGGAAAAGGCAAAAAGTTTTTGTACTGTGGTTATCTTCCATAAAAGTAGGCCTACTATTTAATGGCACTTGTGCTGTGCATATTTTAAAGCCCACCTGTGGTGAAAATCAAGTTTTTAATGCGTTTATGTGGTGTTTTTAATCTGCTTTAAAACAATCCATGTGTAAGTTCATATTAAGTCGACAGCATTGCTGAGTGTTTCCTCCTTAAAACTGCAGTGAACCAAAAACACGCTTTGAAATCGCTGCGTTTCTGACGTCACAAACCACCTTGTAACCAATCAGATTGCAACATAGTGGATCGCTGAGCGAGTGGAGGCGGGGCTCATTTGCATATTTAGAGACTCGCGCATACTAAATGAGGCAAGGGTGTCGAGTTACATTCAAGATATTTTAAGGCAATATCCACATTCAAAACTTATTGACTAAAATATCTATCTTCTGGCAGACGCCGTGTGCATCGACTTACGGTACAAGAGAGTGCTATTGAAGTCGTTGGCGTTCTTCTTCTTCCACGCTAGAAAAGGCGGCAGCCCATAGAACCGCTCACGGAAAACTTATGAAATTTGGCGCATTGATAGAGGACAGTCTGAACTGTCACCAGAGCAAATTTGGAGTTTCTAACTCAATCCCACTAGCGCCACCAACTGTCCAAAGTTGCACTCATGTTTATGCTAATAACTTTTAAACGGCTAGAAACAAAATAATTTTCCAGCCAATTCCCTGCAGCTCAAGACTATTCGAAAATGTGTCCACCATTTTGAATTCTCGAAATAATCAACCAAAACAATTTAGCCAAAACTTTATTTGATCAATTCAATGGAAAAAAAGTCTAAATCATAAAAACAGCTGAACAATGCATATAAATTGAATCTTATTTGTATCCTAAAGATGGTGTTCTTTAGTTTACATATTTAAAAAGTCAACAAAATTAAAGAATAAAAAAGTAAAATATCTTCCCATTAAAAAAAAAAGATCAGAGGACAGTATGAAAAAGCATAATTCATATGAAACATCAGATCTAAAAAATAGGGAAAAAAATAGTTTTGCATATATAAGGCAATAAGGAGAAAAGAGAGGAAAGGCCTTTACATTCATTTACGTATGCCGACCAACATCTGTGTGGTGATTATTACACAATCCATCAACACTGATCAGACCATTTCACAATAATAATTATCATTTTGAAAACACCAGCAAACAGATTCTCACATGTACAAAAGGTCATCTTTGTGGTTGTCGAGTGAAACGGCAAGTGCTTCAAAACAGTTTCATGGTATTTACATCAATGTGTAGAAATGTGGCTTTAAATGACCTTCAACAAGTTGTACAAAACACTTTTAATGGAAATTAATCCGTTTAGCATGGTGTGAGTGTGTGTGATTGTGCGAGCAAGCAAGTGTGTGTGTGTGTGTGTGCAAACGAGCGAGCAAGTATGTGGGAGTGTGTGTGAGAGAGTGTGTGTGCGTGCATGTGGAACACACAGTAAATCACACATGTCATTTCTAGTTGTTAATATATAAGTAACGAACGAATCCAAGCTAAAGTCATTTCAAAGAATTGCAAGGTTTATTCCACTTCGATGGTCCCTCGGATTGTAATTGTTCATTGGTCGCTAAAGTACCTGTGCAAAACACTGACAAAACACACACACAACAGAACCGGAAAAACACGGGGAATAAAACAGGACGAGGACTGATGATGAGATGCAGAATCCGAACGATTTGATTCGCCGCTTAAAAGCACCTTAATACGAGACACACGTCAGGCTCACATAACGAGGAAAAACGGATCAGGATTTTTTTGGTGGCACGTTTTAATCATACCTTTGTCAGGATGGATTTATTTCTGCAATTTGTTCAACTTTTTGTGACAACATGCCCCAGTAAACATCCTCCATCACAATAATAATGGCTTTTATGGCGTATTTAAATGGTAAAACGGGTATGAAACTAAATAATTTATGCAATGACAAAAACGGAAAGGAAACAGATATTGCCATTATTTAATTGTATAAAATTGCATCATATAATAAATTAAGAACTATTTCAGAGATTTTAATTTAAAAATTTCTTATCGTCATGGATACATTTCAATTGTAACTCTCATTAAATTCTAACCACTGTAATTAAGTCATTTTTAGGCTTTATTTTCTTGAAGGAGTAGTTCACTTTAAAAAAAAAACTTTTGCTGATAATTTACTCGCCCCCATGTCATCCAAGATGTCCATGTCTTTCTTTCTTCAGTCGAAAAGAAATTAAGGTTTTTGATGAAAACATTCCAGGATTTTCTCCATATAATGGACTTCAATGGGGACCAAACGGTTCAAGGTCCAAAAGACAGTTTCAGTGCAAACTGTTCAAAGGGCTTTAAACGACACCATCAAAATGAACAAATCTTTTTTCGTGTCATTTGGTTCATTCAACGAACGAAATGAACGAGTTGACTCTGGAAAAGAATCGTTGAACAGGAGAGTCACGAACGCGCATCACAGAACAGAGCAAGGCGAGCATTTGAGCTTATAAAACGTAAACTTTGCTATTTTTTTTTTTAAAATGAGCGATCGTTGCGCTTGATAAGACCCTTATTCATCGTCTGGAATCGTTTAAAGCCCTTTGAACAGTTTGCACTGAAACTCTCATTTGGTCCCCATTGAAGTCCATTATATGGAAAAAATCCTGGAATGTTTTCATCAAAAACCTTCATTTCTTTTCGACTGAAGAAAGAAAGACATGGACATCTTGTATGACATGGGGGCGAGTAAATTATCAGCAAAAGTTTTTTTTTAAAGTGAACCTCTCCTTTAAAGCAACATATCATTGCTTATTTCTCTCTTTAGATTGTAGGATATATATGTTCAGGTGTCGCTCCTTTGCTATATTGACGGCGGTGAGTTTTAATAAGTTAATTTCTAGTTGAGTGGAATTCAGTCATTTCAATAATTAATACAAAAAATAATTTATCTACATTTCTACTATATTGCACATTCTATGCAAATGCTCATGAATGCAAGCGAAATTTAGATCAAAAGTACTTTAGTGGGTCGGGTCTATAGACATTCATACAATTTCAATTGGTCAACTGGTGTTTTTGAATGGAAATGAAATAATATTTGGCATGACGTTAGCTATGATACTTCAACACGAGACTAAAGATGCGCTGTGCAATCCATTTCTCTCACCGCTATATTAATGGACATTAATTGGGCAGTATGAGTGGAGATGTGTTTCAGCGTTCCCTCTCTTGATGATTCAAGGCCACAGAAGCAGAGCTGATTTCAGGACAGACATCACAGAACGTCTCCCGTTACGCTGATCTCGGAGCAGTCTCTGTGAACCTCGTGTGAAACGTCTGCCTGAAGATGTCCGCTTTCATGCCGTTCCACTGGCGGAGTAAGAGAACTGTGGGAAATGCGGTCTCCTCTCGCTGTCGAACGGCTCCAAGCTGTCACCTGTGCACAACACACACACCTCACATAAATCCTGTCACCGCAAATAAACGCCACTTCTGCAAAGTAGGCATGTGAGCCGTAGAGTAACACTTGTTATACCATGGTCTGGGTGAATACTCGATTCTGATTGGCTGCAGGGTCCAGTAAAAAGTGATAGAGAGACATAGTAACCAGACATAGTAACCATAGCAACAGGCAAAGTATCCGCTTACAATTTATTGTATCAAAACAAACATCTAGTTAGCCGTTATATGAAAATCATGAAAGACTGGTAGCAACCTCAGTTTGTTTTCAAGCCAATAGTTGAAAAGATAACATCCATTAATGTTTTTTTGGGAAAATAGTGTGTAAAAATGTTTTAAATATAAAGAAAATAATGATAGATTCACCATTTGTGAGGTGGCAGCGAGCTATAATGGACATGCGTGTTATTTCTGTGATTATTGAGGTTAAATTCATATCAAAATCAGCCAAACTTCCCGCAATAAATTGTATGAAAATTGTGTAAATAATGGTTTAGATCACTCAAAACTCATATGGAAATGGCGGCCCCTTATATGGGCAGTAATGGAGTCTGGTTGTGCCCTAGTGGAAGCGTTCGGTACTGCACACACACGCACTCTTACTAAAAGCTCATTTATTTACCTATATATGAAGAGTTCAGATGCAAAAGCCTCTAAGTGCCATTTGAAATTTTCTTCTAAATTGATAATTTTTATCAAACTTGTATATTTAAGTTCAGTAATTTCACTTAAATGACAATGAAGATTACCTATGAATTGCCATTTAAGTGAAATTACTGAACTTAAATATACAAGCTTGATAAAAATGATCATTCTAGAAGAAAATTTAAAATGGCACTTAGAGGCTTTTGCATCTGAACTCTTCATATATCAACCTACAATTTGAAACACAACTCGTTCAGAGATTTGGCTTTGATTTTCTTGCAGTTTTAGAGTCCAACAAGTTTTGAAAAAAAAATAAAAAAATTAATATAAAATATGATTACTTACATTTTTACATTTTATATTTATACTTGTATAACTTTATTTACATGTCAAATGTCTTCTTTAAAACAAGACCAATCTTACATCTGCATCCTTACAACTAATTAAGTTCGGATTGAGCATTTTCATGTTTAATCAAAAAAGGGAGCACAGCACTTAAGAGGTTAAACAGGAAGTCATGGCGGGATAGTTTCATGTTCCTAGTCACCCTGGTGTGCTAAAAATGTAAATATTAATGGGAATATACTTCAGAGATATTTGTGGCCAACATGCACTGGAGAAAAGTGATTTTCGCAGCACTTTGGATTATTTTACTTCAATGAAAGGGTCGATTTTTGTGATTTTTTTTTTTAATCAAAAGGATAAACAATGAATATTTATTTTCACAGCCTTCTTTTGATCATATTTACCAAGAGTGCAAATAGATCTGAACACAAAACTCTCTCCCTATATGAGCGTCCTGCAGAAGTGTGTGTGTGCCGGTACCTTGTCCCGGTGGTGTGATGGTGATGGTCTGTCCGGTGAACTCCTCATCGAAATATCTGGTGTCTGTTTCTGAGGTGACCTGCGGTTTGAACGGAGGATCCAGCTGAGGAACAGAGCGCCCGTTAGACATTTAGTTAGTTTCACTCGGAAATTGCGATTAAATTTCACAAATAACTGCAAAGAAATGGCCAGTGGCATTTAATTAAATGTGAATTTTGAAGTGGTAAACAATACAATATTGTGTCACAATACAAAAATGCAACAATATGTATAATGTAATGTAACAATCCATTAAAATACTATATATGATGTTGAATATAATGTATAATAATGCACTGGGGGATATGTGTGTGTCCTGATAATGCCACATGTCTGATGTTAAGAGTAAAAAGAGGTTTATTTTAAATATATCTAGTGACATATTCGTCTACAATAATTCAGTGTTTTCCTCTTCAGAATCATGAATATTGTTATTCTGGTGTCTCTATTGTCTGTGCTTTGGGTTTCAGCACCGAGTCCAAGTTCATTTACACACACAATATAATATTAAACTTAGCATTTTAATCAACAGTACATTTATTGATAACCTTTTATCATGTCTTAGTGTTTTGCGATAATATTGTTTCGTGAGTTCAGAATCGTCATATGTATCGAATCTTGACATTAAGGGCATCGTTACACCCCTAATATATATATATATATATATATATATATTAGGGCTGGGAAATGATTAATCGCATCCAAAATAAAAGTTTGTGTTTACATAATATATGTGTGTGTAGTGTGTATAATTATTTTGTATATAGAAATACATGCATACACATACACACACATGCATGTAAACATTTAAGAAATATTTGCATGTATATACTTTATATATATTTATACAAAATTAATATTATACATAAATAGAAATATTTGATATATTAATAACACATTTTCCTTAAATATATACATGCATATGTGTGTATTTATATATACAAAATAATTACACACACTACACACACATATATTACGAAAACACAAACTTTTATTTTGGATGCGATTAATCGTTTCCCAGCCCTAATATATATATGAAGAGTTCAGATGCAAAAGCCTCTAAAAGCCATTTGAAATTTTCTTCTTTAATGATGATTTTTATCAAACTTGTATATTTAAGTTCAGTAATTTCACTTAAATGGCAAAGATAATTACCTATTAATTGTTATTTAAGTGAAATTACTGAACTTAAATA